AGGTTTTAAGCACTTGTTCTCCTGGCTTTCACGTTTCACATCACAGGAGGTGGCACAAGTTCCTGCACCTCCAACCAAACAGGTCCAGTTCCTTGCATACGACACCAAACTTAAAATATACATATATAAATATATATATTCCCTTCTGGCAGCAAGTGTTGCTTTGGTGACTATAAATGAACACCTAGCTGTGATTCTCTTGGGTTATAAGCTCTTTAGAGAAGGAGTCACATCTTTGTTCCAAGTTTGTATCATCCTTGGAGCTCCAAAATAGAAGGCTTCTAGGTGCTAGTRTAATGCAAGCATAATTTAACCAAACCACCTGCTTCCTCCATTCAGAGCTCACAGGCTGATGCGGACAACATTTGACCAGGATGATCTACCAAGAACTTCCACCATCTATTTAAGTGTCATCACTCTGCAGCTGGTGGCCTATCTCCAAGCCCAGGCAATGCTCAGAACTGCTTTCTGTGCCCATGCCCAGCCAGCCAGCCTTGTTCCCTGCCAGGGGGGAAGAGGACTACGATCACTAGATGAAGCAAGGGGTCAACAAATCCCAGSTAAGAACTCCAGTTACTCCTCAACTCACGTGCTTTCGTAAAAATCTTTATTACTCACTGAAATGCAGCTATTTCTACACCTTCACAAGGGGAGGCTGAGAGCTTATATGTGATTTCACACCCAGCAAATGGGCTGAGCAGTCACGAACAAAACTCCCAATGTCAATTCACACCCTCACGCAAACCACGAGCCCAAACCCCCTCCTGGCTGAAATGTTTTCCTGAACTTTCACCCAGCCAGAGCTGTCTACTCTTAAGTACTCAGAGGTTAAAAGGCAACTCATTTTCTAATTTCGGAGAGCTGCCAAAAGGGCTGATTCATACAAAAAGCCTCAAATCATACAGGAACCAGGTTTCATTTCCCTGCTTCCTGAGGGCCCACCAGGAAGGTGAAAGAGGAGTCACCACAGAGAATAGGAGCAGGTTTGGAAGCTGAAAAGCAAGTAGAATATCTGGTTATCAGTCTCAGGATACAAGTACAACAACTCAAAGCGAACGTAATCTTTCCTCTTGGACTCGTGCCTGATTTTACACCCACTGCTGGCAAGTAGGCACCGTGGTGGCCAATAACACGCTCCACTCATCACAGCTGACTCCAGGCATTTGGGAGATGTCCCAACGAGGCACTCGAGCAATTCCGACGGAGCAGAGGGCAGCCCAACCTCTCCTGTTACACCTTCCCACCGCTGGGCTTTCCTGAGCGGSAGATGGAATTAGAGATTGGGGTACAATAACCCAACAAACCTGGGAATATTCTGAAGTGACTATTTCAGTAATTAAAACAATTTCAGGATTCAAGACCTTTTACATCCCGGTCTATTCCTAMATCATCCTATGTGGCTAAAAACATTCAGAAAATGACTCATGTGCTGAAAAAGCTACTGCAAAACCTGTGCAGAGCTGGACGGTGCCAGATCCATATGGATCATGTCAGGTCTTCTGGCTGTGCAGCCCAGTTGAGTTGGAGAGTTGCTCCAGTGCTGGGGGAGGAAGGTCTCCGTATAACACCAGAGGCACCTAAAGGTGGTGGCACTCAGTGGCAATAACCACCTATTTTGGTCTAATGCATGTTTAGGCAATGGAGAAAAGAGGCTACTCCCAGAACGTGTAGAGATCCTCCTTAAATGAGTCACATAGTTTTAACATGATTCTGATCTTTCATTTTCAAATTTATTCTCAATGAGAAATTGCAGCCTACAACTATTTTGACTACAGAAAATGACAGAATGTAATGGAAATATCAACTAACTTCTAGTGGCACCAGGGTGCTACTTAACAATGATGTAACTGGATCGTAATATTTCATTTTTCCTCCGTGAGTATTTATAGTTTTTAAATGAAGTAAAAAAATGTACTGATAACAACCAGATGTGCAATTATGCATACCAGCTCTCAACAAGCTGCTGAAAGAAGCCTTTATTATTTAAAACTAGGAGCTCAATTTTGCAACAAAATGTTAGGAATAGTTCCTATGCAAAACAGATATGATTAAATACTTAAGTTTTGGGGTTTTTTTTGCTGACTATGTAGTTTTGATCATTAATGTATACTCAGGGGTGCTAACATTAGCAAGACCAAAGAAAAAGCACAGTATCCATAACACCCCCAAAGGAGCCATAAATCAAAAGATCAACATACTGTAACTCAAGTCTTACAAGGGACTGCACAGCTCTGATCCTTAAAAAGCAATAATGCAATTTAAGTACAATTTCTCAAAATTAAATGTCAATATGAGAAATTTCCCTTTGGCATTTTGTACGGAGTCTGCTTTGCAAAAGGGTATAATTAATCTAAGGTCTTTTTAATAAGTCTCACAGAGGGTCACAAAGCTGTCGAGCCCCATGTCCCCACTCCCACCTGCTTTAGCTRTGCTGAGGACAACTTCCATAATGTGCTTTCGTCTTCCTCAGCACGAGCTCTAACACAGAGAAATGTTTTTTTTTCATTCCTCATAGGTAATTCAGAGATGCATTTTCCACCTATGCATGGCTGCACATCTCTGGAACCTTTCCAAGCAAAAATCAACACGTTTCAGATCTTCAGTTATACCTCACAGGAGAAGACAGAGAGATGAGGTACAGACTTGTGATTTGTCTTCTTCCCCATCTCCCACACCTTGGTTATTAGTTTCGAGCTTGACTGCCCACTTGCATTTTCCAAATGCGTCTACACGTTATTTCGCACGCAGACATGAGCTCATTTTGCCAAGACTCCGGGTGAAGCGAGCTCAGAGCAGTGCAGGCTCTGCCCGTGCTCAGGAAAGACCTGATCCTTCCTGACTTTGGTTAGACCAGCGCCAAGCCCAGGCAGCAACTCAGGCTGAGACTGGGGACTTACCTGAATAATACCACGTAGATATACCCTTAAACTTCCCTCCCAATGGTACCCTCATCTTGCACATACAACTTTTCAATGTACTATTCAAGACTGAACAGCAAAGGAATCATCTTTCTATCTTAACAAATTTCTCTCTGCTTATTTCCCTCCTCCAGCAGTAGATTGTGGTCCTTTTGTCTTCTGACGTTAAACACAGCTACTTTTACCTTATAATTTTAACCATTAAGAAGGCAACCTTCAGCAGCAGGAGACATGAAACCGAAGGAAAATTCTCACCAGGAACTACTTTTTTTTTTCATGGTGTATTAGAGTAAATTTTTCCATACTTTACCCCTTCCCTACTTTCATTCAGTAGCCTGGGGGAAAAAGTTATTGTTAAGGCATTATTACATTGTTAAACACATTACAGTGCTAAACAATACAATATTACACATTTTTATTAGTGTTACTACCTTACTTAACTTTGTCCAAATTAACAATGCAGTTAATAGCATACTATTTTAGAGAAAAAAAATCAGCCAAGAAAACTTGTTTTCACAAAGTCTTTCCAAATCCAACATGAGAAGAGTGAATGATCCCACTATAACTGAACATTAAAGATTATACAGCAGCTATATAACTGTGAGAGGATCATTATTATTACTATATCATATTGTATAAGTGTTTTCAACAACTATTCCCATTCCCTGCAGCCACATTCATGCAGAATGGAGATGCTGACAGGTTCAAATGTTGAAAAAGGTTAAGAACAATTATGGCCATAAAATTATTGCTGTTTTTCTGCCAGAACGGCAGAATAAGTGATATTTGACTCTACACAGCAATTAGGACTGCAAGAAAGTTTCCAAAAACAAAGAAGAAAAAAAGAAAAATGAACACCCACCCACGGGATTTATGAACTTGCCCATATATTTCAGTCCTTTCACCCCTTCTTATGTCTTCTAATCTGCTGCAAACAAAAAGTGTATCTGTTCCAGGAAGCACTGACAAGCTTTGGAGAATGGCACACTTAATCATAGTGCTAATCCATTACACAGTTACTATCCAAACCCTCATGTAATGCTGACAGCACTGTATTTAATGAGCAATGTTTCAAAAACTATTGTGTCTTTGTCAGCTTTCCAACCAAAAGAACAATCAGCAGTATGAAAACTAAACCAGAGATACGTACTATATGAAAATATATGAAAATATATGAAAAATATTTTTTATTCAAAAAAAAGGAAACAAATAAGGTTATCAGTCTTTACTACCAAGGACTGCAAGTAAGAAAGTGAAGTTTCACGGCACACATCCCAGTAGAATGCAGAATCAAGACCCCTCAAATAAGACAGATGCCTTTAAAAAGGAAAGCAAACAAATCAATTGTGCACTGGAGCTCTACAGAAATATTCCAGTTGGTCACATCTGTCATCTTCAAATATCAATTCACTYGTATTTCAGAAATAAATATTAAATGAGAACGAGACGCATGACTGAAGTTCACAGCGTAACAATTTCCAAATAAAAGTTGGKAGTAATTTTCTCCGTATTGATAGAGGTACCCAAGAAAAACAACAAAGCATCTACAAAACAAATGGGATAACTCTTGCTCACTCAGTTTGAGCCAAGCATGAGATGCTGACCATTATTCATTTTAATAAAATCTTCAGGGCTGGTACTGGCAGCGGTTTACCATTATCACTACTTTACAACAATATAGAGCATTCACATTCAAAAAAAAAAAAAAGAATATTATGAGTCTCATCATTTAAGCTTTATATTTGCACARATGTTTGGTTTATCAACAAAAGCTGTAAAGAAAAACAACTTACAAGAGAGGAATTTCAACGATGAGCTGGATGAGGCAACACAGCAACTCTTCTATGAGGTCTTCACATTCTGWTCCTGAAAAGAAGCACACCAAAGATTGCCTGAATTTTCTAACAAAAAAAAAAGTCTATTTCGACACATAGATCCAGGCAATCAACACCTATGAATGCACAAACACTAAGTTTCATTGGAAATTCCATCCATTTATGAAGATGGCACGCTTATCCAAAATTCAATATACAATAAACTAAGTGGGAGACTGATATCATAGTAGGAAGTATGTTAATACTGAGCACGCGAAGCCTTTCCCAYTACCCACATGCTTTACTGCTTAGCTAAGCTCGTATTAAACACGGTTATTACTAACAGCTTGGCTCATGGATCACCAGGGACTCCCCACAGGCCCACAGCTCAACTCTCCTCTCAAAATTCCCTGCACCCCCTATGCATTTCCCTTCACCTCTTTTCAGCCCTCAGAAGAAGCAAATATAGAAAGCTCATAGTTTCATTTATTTAACCTATACTGAACAATATCCTAAATTGTGCTCTTTCAAACGAACGCAGCCTATGGTGCATTCAGGGTGGGCTATTCTCAAGCAATTGTTGTGTTGTGCATGAAGGCATGTTGATCTAGGGAAGAGGTTTCACTCAGTCTCAAGGCAAGATCATCATTTTCCAAATACAAGTGTCCAAAAGTTACCCTTAACTCACATACGTCACGGGACCAAACACATGGCACGATTACCCGTTTTAGTCATTAGGCCTTCTTATGTTTTCCATTCGTGTTGCAATTCTCAAAAGCAACAGGAACAGAAGCTTTGAGAAAACCGTTCAACCATCCACTGTTGTCATACCAAAAAATAGGAGATACACCCCTTGAATCATCAAGTTTTTTTCTGTTTATAAAAAAATTATACATATAATGCAAAAAGTAAAAGATTTTACAGCTCAGAATGGCCCCAAAGCAAGCACAAGTTTTCCCCCTTTCCCTCATCGGATGAGGGCATCACAGCACTGTGCCACAACCACTACCCACACGGCTGTTTATTTTACATTTTCAGATAAATATGTCTCGCTATAAATACAGCGATTACAACCAAGTCATGGCACTGTTATTCTGCTTAAACCAAGTTTGTTCTTAATTCCAGGACTCAATTTTAGGAAGCACACCAGAGGGAATAGTCACAATAAAGCAAAATCATTTCTTTCCACAATCAGTTTATTAAAAACACATTAAAAATTGCCACCTAGTGAACTGCACATTCTAAAGGAAATCAGTTTTTTATCACGGAAATATGGTTTCCTTTATATAGAATTCCCCATGAGTAAACACAACGTAGGTCCTGTTTGCACAAAAGTAGGGCTGCTAAGACTGAAACTATGGCAAATAATGAAGTCCAGATAGCGGATTGTACAGCAACTTGAAGGTGAATCTCTCTAAAAGTTTATGAATCTAGGAAATACTTATTCAGAAATACGTCTGTATGTTCCCAAAGAGTATCTAATGTTTTCCTCTTAATAGTGAGAGGGGAAAAAAAGAATAAAATAAAAAAGAGAATACTCTTTCCMCAGTGCCCTGTGCACAACTTGTTTGGAGAAAGCACAGTGGTATTTGAATATGAAAGAAGGTTTTTTCTTGCACTTAAAGTGCAAAAATAAAAATAAAGAGTAAAAATAAAGTGAGACGATTGGTTAAGACATGATGTAGACTGGAAGATGTTAGTCTTTCTTGCTTGCTCCATTTTTAACCTTAATTGCCGTAATCAATGTCATTCAGCTGCAATAATTACCATATCCTTTTCCCCATCGGGGCACAGGCATTCTTGTTTAATTCTTGCCTTGCCAAGACAATGAGGCAGACACATGCCAAATCTATAACGTGAGAGCGAGCTATAAACAGGGAACACTCTGTGTTTTCATAAACAATGTCTTTTTTCAATAGCAGGAGAAAGACAATGCATACAATAGTCATTCACATTAATAGATCACATACTTGGATTAAAGACACATGTAGACCCTTGGGGCAAGAAGCAAAGGGTGAATCTGTTCAGATAAGCTTAGATCAGACTTGCACACAGAAATCGTAGGTGTCTCTACTGAACTCTACTACAGTGTAAATGTAACTGCAGACACAGAGTTATAAAGACATGCAGTTACGAGGCATCACTTTTCAATCTTTATATCTGAAGCCTCAAATACATGGATTACTTSCGTGATTTTGTTACTTAAACAATACTGCTGGACGTGCCATCTCTTCTCCTGTGACCAGCATAGCTCCACCACTGCTCATAATGTAGAATCTAACATAGATACCATAAAATAGTCTTGCTTGCCAAGTGGCTAACGATCATGATTGTCGAGACCTGCTGTAGTAGTTGGATGTGCCTAATATCAGGAACATATTTAGGCCTAGCAAGCAATAACCTCAGCCTATATACTAACAGCTTCTCCTACTCTGCTGCTCCTGTGCTTGCATAGAGTTATGAAAACCTGGMCAGCAGTGAAGAAATATTTCATGTCACTTAGATGAGTACCTGAAGCTTCTTCCCTTCAATTAGTTACATAACAAGCAGGCTGCAAGACACAAAGGTTTTGGGGCTCTTGTGGTTAGATCTTCAGCTCCCAGGTTTCTCAAAAGCTTCCACTTCGCCCAAAAAGTATCAGCATGGAGTATACAACCTAACTGCCATCCCTAATTTCCTTTATGCAATAAGTAAAAGCTCTGTAAGCAGAGTTGCATTTAACGGTTGCAATAAATAATTATTGCTTATTCTCTCCTCTATTCCCATCCTTCCAAAAATCTCTGTAAGAAGGGAGAAGAAAGACAAAAAAACACTAAATGCGGCATGTTTTGTAAAAACCTTGGTTTRTTCTCTGGGAAATTGGACCTTTCAATGATTTTCCTCATAAAWCTCACCCGTTCTACTACTTTGGTGTTCCTTTGCACTTGCTATAATGCACCGAGTGCAGTCCTTAGCAACTCTGATTAAAATACTCTTTATACAGAATGAATCAAATCTTCTGCTATAGGTCAAAGAATAAGTTAAATGAGCTGACAATCTGATTAAGGATACAGGATATTATAACCACTCCTACGCTCCTGAATTACAATACAGTTATTGTAACTATGATGCAGGCAGTGGAAACGTCACCAGAACATGTTATGATCTGTTAGCAAAAACTTAGCTTAGATCCACATACGCCAGGATATTTAGCAGTTCATAAAGTGGATCAAGAGAGGTCTGCATAGAACAAAAATATTGATATGGGCACCTATTAGTGAGGAACTGGTAAGAGCCGACTTGTTTTACTCAACATCGTCGCTATTGCTGAGGCTTTCACTTAGYACAGGGCAGGCTAAAAACAGTCACTGAAGGCCACAAAAATCAGGCAGCCCAACTGAAACCACGTTATTCCCTCAAGGAACAAGTGCCCGCTTTCCCAAATAAACATGCAGGTTCTCCAAAATAGTAGATTCTAACTACTATACAGCAATTGAACTAAATGCCGAGATAATAAGCCATGGAAGATGACATTAATTTCAAATTCAGTAATATCAGGAATTTTTCAGCATATCAGCAGGTGCCAATATCTGCAGGTGCCAATGTTGTGACCGACTRCAGCCCAAGCAAATTAATGTGCTGATACTGCACCCACAATACATGAGATGCTAACTTTAAATTAAGAACACGGTGCTAGGAGATATGCTCTGGCTATACGGGAACAGGGGAAGTGATGCTCATAGTTTGAACAGCCAAACAAAAATAGTCTCAAGAAGAGTAAACATAATACCCCACTCTGGCAAATGAAAAAAAACAGGAACAACTCAGAACAGCTTATTTAAAAAAAATGTTCAAAGATAGCACTTCCKGAACTCCTGTTGTATGTGCCAAACTTACAAATCTATATGTTCTCAGAAGACCAAGGGCATTCTAGTGATAGGGAAGGTGATCAAAAGGATCTACTTTTCTACTTTATGAAAGTAGAAGTTATGCGTAAGTAGTAAAAGTATGAAAGTAGAAATTATGACAGTAGAAATAAAATCATTTTTCCCCCCAGTTCACTTTAAATAAGCCCTAACACAGCAGCATTTTTACTATACTCTTTTGATGCTATTTCACTTCTCCTGCATCTCAGTACAAAAATTACAGGATCAAGTCATTAGAAAAAAATACAAGTGRGAAGCATTTGTTAGGACCTGCAAGTGACAGAAAAACCCACATGKCATGATGTGAGCCTCAGTACCTTGAAGAGGACCACAAGAATGATCTCCAAATGAAAACTCAAGAAAAAATTGGCCTAAGTCCATGGCCRGGCAGCAAGAGCTGACAAGGAACTCGCTTCCTGCCTTTCAGTCCCTTCTTCCAGCCAGCAGACCACACACAATTACCTTCCTAATCAAGACCATCCAGCTAGCAATCTGCTCAAAGATAATTGCCTAGAACATTTGCCATCAATATGCGTAAAATTATCGCTAATAAATGTCACTGTGAATTASAGTCAAGTGCTACTAAACACTGTGTAAATAGGGATCTAGCCTGGTGACAACAGTCACTTTTCATATTACACCGCGAGAAACTCTAAACATAAGGAAAAAAAAAAAGACTGCTGTGGCTCAAACTGACAAAACTTTCCCTCATTCCTATCTGTTTTAGTGTGCTACAGTATTGCATTTAAGCAAAGGGTGGCCTTTCTTTTTTTAAACCAGGTATAAACCCACAGGCAGTCTGCAATGATAGCTTATTATAAGCAGGCGCTGCTTTTTAATGTATCAGCTAGGTGACCTCATTCTCGGAGATTACTCACCACAGTTTAACTACATTAAACCATTTCAACATGTAGCACTTAATCTTTTGGCACCAGAAGGTTGATTTCCCCAGAGCAATGGCAGGCGCCGAGGAGTTAACCAGATTTTAATGAACCATTTTCACTATTCAGTGAGCAAGCAGCTATTAGGCATTCCCGACATATGTCCTTGCCTTCTACTCCTTGGGAAAATCTGCATCGGTAACACGTTTACAAGCAGGTTAAAGAACAACTAAAGATATCTCATTCTGATACCAGATATTTYGGCCACACAGTTTTTGGTTTTATGCAATGAATGACAAATCTCTGAACTCTAAATGAAGAGAAGGAAATTTCACATGTTCTGTGATAGTGTCATGACAGTGTGAAACGAAAGAACTGTGGCAGACGTGATTTTTTATGCAGTAATCAAACCAATTTTGAACACATGCATTCACATTCAAAAAGCATGACTTTAGAGAGATTAGGGTTTTTTTGTTTTTTTTTTTAAATACTATAAAAGCCCAGAACAGGAGGGAAGATACTTAAGTAATCCAGGCATTCCTGCTATCTTTCCTCTTGTGCAATCCATTCTCCATTTCCTTGAGCTGCACTTACTTTGAAGCATTCTAAGTTGACTTTTCTGTGATTCCTGTTTGAGAGATTTCATGGTAAGAAATACTGCCTGCTAACTAACTGAGAGCAATTTCTGCTTTCAATGGATCGCTTTAATCATAGAATTATTTACTTCTCTCAGTATATTTCTATTACTAAATTCTATGATATTTCACCTTTTCCCACAGTGGTCAATAGGATAGTTCTGCTCCAATTATATTTTGTTCTCCCCATCTTCTCAGAGGACAAAGGCTATGCTCGGCTCTCTCCATTCCACCTGTCCCTTTCCTTACTTGGGCTGCAATCCTGTGCTCTGAACAGGCCCAGGAAAGCAGGGATTATGTTCAGACAGGGTCCTCAGGAGCAGGAAAGGAAAGCTCTGTGCATCCCTTCCTGTGCAGATGCTCTTACACCTTGTGTAGCAGAGCACCTCGCACAAAAATGAGAGGCATCAGGACACCAGGGCATGTTCTGAAGAGGATTGTTAGTAATTTTAATATAGTTTAAAATGCAATAAAACTTATGTCTGCAGTATCAGTTTGTAATTATTGTTTATAAATACCAGATAAAGTTTGCTAAGAAATGATCACACTACGTTTAGAAATAAATGTTTAAAGAGAAATAAACTAAACAAACCTAGCTTTAGGAGAGGTTTATTTTGCCATGAGCACTTGTTACATGCCAGAACAGTGCGCACCTACCGTACGAGCCTGGYGTTTTCTCCTCATAAGTAAAATGAAGTTGTAGTTCCTCTTCTGACATTCGGCTGATGAATACTTTCAGCAAACAGCAGATAATAAACAATGCGTTGTGAGCCTGCCAAATAAAGAGGTGACTAGAAAGGAAGCAAAAGCAAACAAGAGTCAGTAACAGCTTGTAAACACACATCCAAAAAAGAAAAAAAATCACAAGATATATGCCAGAATGTCTATTCTTATATACCTATAATGTCTATAAAAATCTTACTGGGGATTCTTATAGTTGAAGCAAGCAAAAAAACACCAAAGTGCCCTGAAGTATCAACTGAAAAGAGGCTGCTACAGCAAATAAATTAGAAGTGCATTTAAATACAGTATTTTTTCCAAGCTGATACAGTTTCAATTTTAAATTGGTATTGTTAAAGATGTCAGAAGTGCTAGTCTCTTCAAAGAGCTTACTAAATGGCTTACACACACTTCTAAAGGTTTCTAGACCCTGCAATCTCAAGTCCACCTAAACAGATGAAAATTTCCAACAACTTCAATACAAAAACTATTCCAGACTCCACAAGCCTTAACACTTTTCCTGATCCAATATTTCTCCGATGACTCTGCATACCTATGGATTTCAGGAGCACAACAAAGCAAAAGCACCTTCTCCCCTTAAGATTTTTTTCCCAGCTTTCTGAATGCAAAGAGAACGTGATTTCACAACATATTCTTGAATTGCGTCTGTCATGTAGGTATAAGAACATCAAACATCCCTGACTGGTCAGTCTCCCTCTTAGAGGTTATTTATGCTCCGAGGTTTTGAGCATCTCTACTAACCCCAGGAATGGGAATTTGTGCTGCACGTTTATTACATGTGGGATTCAGAGAAAATTAAGACAGCAACACCTAAGGACTGCACAAAACGGAAGGCAGACCCAGTCAGACAAATGTGGTTTATGTAATACACGTGAGAAGGCAAATGTGCCTTTTTGTCCCAATTATAAAAAAATTATCTACTACACTTCAATTGTATGTGCTTGAGAGTGTACTGAATATATCTTTGTTGGAACAGAACAAGTAAGAGAAATCTAAATTTGGGTCTGTAAATATGTTAACTAGCAGAGCAAAACCTCAAGAGCTAGAAACAAAAGAACWTTTAAGAAGTGAAAGAGCAAACACAGCTTTTCCTCATCTACTTACTTCTGACATTCTGCTGAAATTTTTAATTCTTTGGTTCTAGAAAGAAAGACTTTAATCAATGACCCAAGGTTTCCGGTTCGAGGATTCTTCTCAACTAGATGATGGATTGGAGAAAAAAAGAAAAAAAGATTATACAGCATTTGTAATTTGATACCATTTAGTTCAAACAAGACAGAATGAAAACAGCTTCCAAAGCTTTAAATACTTCTACATAAAGTATATTGCAACTGGTTTTCTTCTAGGATTCTCCAGCGCATGCTTTACTGCTCTGTGATTGTTCACTAAACATACTTTGCGCTGTGGATTTAAATATCCCACATGTAGCACTCAGCTTCCTTTCCATGTCTTCTTCATGGCACAATTATTTCCTATCAGGATGTATAGAGAAGTATACATACTGTTTAATCTCACTAGTGGAATGCAGAGAGGCACAGTATCCTGTGGATGTGTGCATCAATGTTGTTCCTTAATTCTTCTGATAAACCACATGGAAAAGAAAGTTAAGACATCACATTTCTCACCTAAAGACTTGCAGACTGAGATGGTGGCTTCTTCTAGTAGCTTTAAGTCAGCACTAGAGGGAAGGAGGGAAAAGCAAAATATCAACAGTTRGATAAGCAAACTGAGTTCCTGAAACTAAAGCAAAAATTCCGAACAAAATAGCAGGGGGGAAAAAAAAAATCTATGAAGTCCTTTATTTCAGCAATCTGTTAGCTGGTTTAAAATAAATACRTAAAATAAATATGTACAAAATGTATTTGAAATACAGTGGCTGTAAAACAGGAAACCCAATATCCAAAAGTGAAATGTCTGTCAAAGCGAGAAGTCCTCAGAGCACCGGTGCTACGCCACGCTTGGTGTGAGCGCTGGAAATAGGCACCAAGCCGCAGCCCTTGGGGAGCTGCAGCACAGAAACCAGCTCCATCTGCCTTCTCTAAAGACATAAATTAACAAATCCTCAACCTGACTTTTAACCCCAAGTTGAGCATCGCTTTCAGTTACCTAATGTTGTATTTCTACAACAATCGCTGGTCACGTACACAGGGTTTTTCATAATTTCACTAACAGTCAGTTGGTATGTTTGGACAAAAAAATCAGCTGAAAACAACAACAAAAAGCTGAAGGCAACCCACCAACACCAGCTGTGACAAACGCATGGAAATATTTTTCTACATTTCTACTGCTACAAACCTACTAGCACAAAGTAACTGGTTGTTAAAAACAGCAGAAGAGCATCCGGGAAGCAGAAAAAAATGCATTTTTCTGTAACAGCTAAGAAAGAAAAGATAAATAATAATCGAGTATTTCTGCCAATGTCACCATAAACAATCTGAAGGTGAYCCAACATCTAATTTCTTATTAATGCATATTAAAAGTAACATCACAGAATGCAAAGTTCTTCTCTTCCTTAAAGAATTATGAAGAAAGAGCTACCCCTAGTTGGGCCTCCGGAAGTCAGACAGAGCCATGGTTAATGGGCAAGCTGACACATCAGTGAGGGACAAGGCCTGCCCTGTCGTGTCCCAAGTTTCTCCTGCCTTTTTCCCCCCTCCACCAAGGGCTGCTGCTYTAAGTCACTTGGGGCATCTTTCACACCCACCCCAAGGGCAAGGGCTGTCACACTCCCTTCAGAGCCACGATACCTCCTCACTCTTCCATCCAACCCCACTTAGTTATTTCTTGCCTGGTTCCTCCAGGTATTTTCCTTTCCCGTATCCCAACCACCTGCGGGCTGGGCCACTAAAGCACAGACCTGCAAGAGCAGGCAGAGCAAACAACTGACCAGATCCAAACATCTCCTGCAAATGTCCCTGGTCAGACCCCGGCAGCATTAACAGCTTTGCTCCTGCTCCTSCCCTACTGTGCTTGCAGGGTCCCGGATGGAGGAGCATTGCAAAACTGTAAAGTGGCCGCACTAATAGCTTACTGGAGAGGCCTTCCTGGCTGCAGATAGAGGACAAACAGTCGCAGGATTTCCTTGCTGGTAGAGGGAATCCCATCCACYCCTTCCCCAAGGAAAAGGATCAAAAAACCTGCCTGGAGCTCCTGCAGTTGGGCACATTTTGCCCATGTGCTCTCGCACCTTCTCTGTTTGGGCACCCGTGCAGTGACTAATGATCATTCTGCATGTTCTCAAGGCATGAGGGTATTAAAAGAATAGATCAGCTCCTTATCAAAAATTCAGGAGATGCAGACGAAAGCAGAGCTTCTCTGAGAGGTAAAATATGAAGTAGCTAAAAGCCTGGCTGACTGTCCTGCTCACCCTCCACCTACATGACATCTATGGCCCATCTAAGGCCAATAAGAAGTTTCYAACAGTTGCCAAAACAGGCAGACCTTCAGGACTATATTACCACATAAATGCTATCTGGATGTACAATATCTTGGCTCCTTCCCACAATAATCAAWAAGTATCACCTTCCTCCTGTCAGAAGCAGGATAATGAAAGCCAAAGTTGTGCCTTTTTATTTTTCATAAGTGAAAATACTGCAAAGACACCAAGAATGAGTTATATGTATTSAACATGATACAAATTTTATTCTGACTTGTCAAAGTTATCCTCATAGCATTTAATAATTGATCTTACATCACTGTTTTAATTCTCATGGCATTTCATCACTTTGTACCTGCAGTTACTGCTCATAATACAAGTTCTTTATCAGTGAGTTAGTTTTCTGTAAGAAATCATCATTTTAGAAAAGGTGAAAGGTGAGGAGAATTGTAAATTAAGCAGTTTATTGCTCAAAAAAGATAATTTATATTCACTGTAGATTTTTATTTTTGGCTTCAAACTAGTATAAATTCCATGGCTAGCTATTCTGGCAAATATTGAGAAAAACACTACTTCCAAAACAAAAATAGAGAAAAAAAAACAGTGGAGTTCATTTAGAGTGGYTGAATTTATTTCAGTTGCCTTATTTTGGATTTACATCAGAGTAATCAACAGTCCATCCCACAGACTTCACCAAAACTGTAATTAAAAGACAGTGAAAGTTGCCTTCTAGCAGCAGCGTCTTCGATGAAGAAAATAGTTCAATCTGCGTTTATTTTAAAGGCATCACAATATAAGATATTTTAGAGCAATGGGACTGCTGATTTTAGGAGAGAGCAGCATGGCATGTCATAAGGATATTCAGCATACAAACGGTTATTAAAAGCATACCCACAAAACAAATAAAATAGATAGCCTTAACAGGGTAAGAATAAAGCCCAACCTATAGTGAACAACCACCTTCCCTGAAAAAGGTGAATAGAAAGTGTAGTTTTCCTGACATTTTTTTTCCTTTGACTATGCAGAGCTTTTTCCTTTGCCACTGAATACAAAACAGAAGAATCGGCCCATTCAGTAAATTCATACTGTGGGAATGYCGACTTTCAGGGACTATTCAGGGAAAAGACGTCAAAGAACGAAAAGCTGCTCAGAATTTATTGTACCAATTTAAAAATGTACCATATTAAGGCAACATAAAAGTTGCTCATTTTTATGTCTTCCCATTAAAGGATCATGCACACTATTCTTCAAGCAGCCACTCATTAAAAACTCCAGGGAAGGAACAAAGTGGAACAGTAAATATTAAGCATATGATTTTCAGCAAGTCCTGTGTTAGTTAACTCCGCTTTAACTTTTCCATCAGGAGAGTAGCGTAACCAACACCACTGCCAAGGAGGAGGCTGCAGTTCCCTGCAGCAACTCAGATGGCAGCCGAGCACACTGGGCTGCCAACATCGAGAGACAACAAAGCAACAACCCTCAGAGCCCGGGTCTAGAACAATACACCCAGTCAACCAGGAGTGTTTAAAGGGCTGGGTTTTTTTAATATCCAAATACTAATCAAGCTGCTTGATATCTAATAAGGGGCAGAATTAAGAGGATTTATATGATCTTAACTCAGCCTTTTCTATGAGTCTATTTCAGTAATAAATATGGAATTATGACAAAAAAAATGAAATTGTGGAGAGTGAAGTCAAAGCACCAGGTACCTGAAGGCCGAAGACARGAATTCTTCAGAAGACATCCTATAGCCCAAGGGACCCGAAATTCCAGATATGCAACACACAGTTGTTAGAGCAAGATCACTACGCATCTTTCAGTGGAAAAAAAGTACTAGGCATCCTGTAATAAAATTTCTAGTAGCTTTGCCGTTTAAAAAACGATTTRCTTATAAACATATATTACTTATTTCCTATCACTGCTATATTCTGTAAGGCTGCAAAGACTTTACCTGCCAAACAGCAGACATTTGCTCTGGCTGTTACCCTCTACCCTCTACCAAGCCAGGGGGAGATACGAGTACGGATTCAGCTTCAGCTCTCATTTCTCTGATTCCTAAAGGCTGATTTATAACTAAGGCCTCCAAAAACCTACTCCCACTCCCTCACTTTACATTCCCTCTTGCTTTGGTATTAAGAAAACCATGCCACAAGGAGCAACACACTTTTCTTTTTGCTAGCTTGTTTTTCAGGCAGATCAACTCCCAGTGAAGCTCACAGTGCATCCCATAAACACCAGAAGAGAGACTGCAAGGCAGGAGTATCTTACAGCACATTGCTAACAGAGACAGTAACACAGGACCTAGCAAGCCTGCAGTGAGCAGTGCAGAGATTTGGCCAAATTCATTCCCAGAGACAAACTGACCTCCTGTTCTTTTACAGGAAGAGATCAAGAAGTTGACTAGACGGGGCAAACAAACCACTAACAAAAAAGAAAGGAGTATTAAATGCTAAGAGAAGGAAACAAAAATGAAGAGCAAAGAAAGAAGCACTGCTCATGGATCAGTTGTTATTCCCGCATCTCCTCCGGGCAGAAATCTGGTAATTCAGCAGCTTTCAAAGCCCAGGTCCTGGGCTGAATATGATATTCATCACATCAAACAGTAGAGAATACCTTGCAAGCAATCACCTACCTGACACACTGATTTTGCAACAGATTCATGGGGGGGAAGAAAAAGCATCATTTGAAAAAAGAGGAAAAGCTTTAATTCCATCTTGTTTGACAAGTGAAAACTTGGCTCCTTCCCACAATAATTAAAAACCTACCATCTTGCTCCTGTCAGAAACATGACCTACGCTCAAGTCTCATAATAACAAAACAGAGCTGGCATGATATTTTGTAATCTTTCAGTCTCCAAAATGAACATTGACCTCCGCTGCTCTGTTCCTGCAGGCAAGGTCACGCGATTTACACAATAGCTGGTGAGGGTGTTATGCAGCCAACAGCATTTGACCCCATCTGTCAAAGGGTTCTCTCCCAGGTAGATGCAACTTGATGGGAAATTTCTGCCTCCTTCCAATTAAGTTGCATAGAAAATAGGACTGTGCTTGTAAAAATATTTCTCTTCTAGCTGTCAGGCAAGAGCACCATCTGGTGTTCAGCTAATTAAACCTTCTTCCTACTTCTGGATCACTTTTTTTTCTATATATATATATATATATATATATATATAGTAAACAAGCTTTACCTTTAAACAAACTAAGTCTGACTCTGAAATATGCACACAAAAGAGCTGAAAAGCTAGCTATGAAAAACTTGTTTATTTGGTGGGCATGGGCAACAGAGGTATAAGAGAACAACTGAAAGAAATTGCTTCTTTTTGATACATAACTACATCCCCCTAGAAAGCCCCACCACCATATGACATGGCTTCTATCTTATTAGTAGTCATGAGCGGCCTATAAGCAAGAATTTCTATAAAAGACTGCTGTTTCATGCAATGCCAAATACTCCAAGAAACCCCCCCTTCACAATACTGTAACTTGTTGCTACTTCCTATTATCCCCTTGCTACTTACTAGTGTGAAGAGACATGCAGAAAAGAACCAGCAYGAGGAGGTGATATTGCAGGTTAGCTGTTTGCTACGCTCTATAATTCTGGTGCAAGTAAAGTAGGGCAGTGGACCACATCATCACGAGAGAAACTTATCTACACATTAGTGCCTGGAATTTAAATACTTACAAAATATTTTTAGAGACAACATGTGAAACTACCCTTTAAAAACTAAAACAGAAACCAAAAAAAACATAATTAAGGCCATACAGATGGACAAACTCAACAGTTAACCTAGGACCAACTCATGGCAGAAGCTCAATGCAGTAAGAGCTGGAAGGGTTAGTCCTGTGACCTACCACTACTTCAGCTTGTTAGCGCATGAAAKGATAAAAGGTTTTAGAGGAAAGACATAATAGAGGCTTATTCAAAAATAAACACACAAAACAAAAACATGCACATGAGAACATAACAGACCTAYTTCTGATCATTTCTAGCTGCTAGAAGAACAAGTAGAACTACAGCTAACATATGGAAGAAAGGAACCCACAAAAACTTATGGCAGAAAGAAGTTTCAAAATTAGAGACAGTCCATTTTACAGAGGCATTTACTGCCCTGTCACCTAGAATAGGAATAAAAWCAAAGGCTTTTTTTCCTTTCCAGATCTGTAATTTTTATAAATACATGACCAAGGTTTAACTCTTCACCGAACATCATCTTACCTGTTTGTTGGAGCAGTAAAGCTAAAGGACAGCAGCTGATTCCAGAATGGGTCATTTTCAGAGATCGGCTCTGCTCCGGATAATTTTTTTAAATACTCATTTTCTGGAAGTTCACTGATGCTGCTGCTATTTGCTCCCATCTTCTTTATTTGGCAACTCCTCTTCTAAATCTTCATTTCTGAAAGGAAAAAAAAAAAAAAAAGAAATATTTGAATCTGTCCTTCATATTTGAATTGTTCTTCATACAAATAAGAAATACATAAGGTTTCCTAAAATACTGATCAATAATCTATTTAATTTACTATTTGGACCAATTATTGAAAAGTAGAAAATCAAAGTATTTAGGGAGGCATTCAAATGACTGCCATCAAATTTAAGACAAAAACATCTTAATGCAAAGAAGTTAAGGATTGCTGTGCTGTATTTCAGATTGCATAAATCACACTCAAGAAGAACACGCTGTTGCCATTATATCAACATCAGGGCAGTTACCAGTGGGGAAAGCCACAMGGAACTGACAATTTAAACACGGATATTAAGTTGACATGCTATTCAAAAATATCTTTTCCAAATGAATACGCAGGGTGCTGAGGCACAGAATGGCTTCTGACAAGAAAGGTCACGCAAATGAAGGCACCCTTGGTGCTGTCAGCCCCTGCACCATCCGCTGCCACACGAAGTGTGGCTGCTGTCACTACCGCACAGCTAACCTCAAGCAAGCAAGCAAAGAAACTACCACGTGCTGATCTCTGTAAAAGTGACACGGCTGCTTCCAGTTACCTACGTGGGGGAAGGCTAAAAGAATGAGCATTTACAATCTGCCAGTAGCTACGTGCCATGAAACAAGTGCTACTGAACATGTGACACCTTTCCAGGACATCAGCTTCAATAAACTTCCACCTTTTGAACAGAAATAATTAGCTACATGCATTAATGAAAAAAATTAAATGCTTACACAATTAAAGTAAAACGCAATTCCTGTTGAACTGGCATTAAGGGTTAAAAGTTAGATGTAAGGATAGAAATGGCTATATTGGAAAATGGAAAATGCTACCCATAAGCAACGTTTAAGATAGTCTAGAAAAGGTATAATATCTGTCTCAGAGCGACTATTCAAATACTGATTCTGAGCTTCCATGACAAACAAACAGGGTGCCAAAGAAAAGGAGGACAACACTGCACTGGATAAAACTTCACACTGACTCAGTACAYGTACTCCTAAAATAACTCTGCACAACTGTAACTCTGCCACGAGGCAGCCAGGGAGCTCTCAATGAGCTTAAGAGGACTTCAAAATTTCAGGTGATTGCTTATTTATGAAACAGGATAAATGCATCATACCTGATTACAGATTTTATCAGTTCAGAGAAAAGACACAGGAGTCAGCTTAATACTTGTGAAACACAGCTGGTAATAAGGAGAACTAAATAAAAACAACACACACCATGCACATGGGATAGGAATATCAGATCATCATTTAAAGACAGGGAAATTGAGGTTGAGCTTGGASGCGGCTATCTCAGCTCTGCAGGTCCTCGTTTGCAGCCCTCTGATAGCCCGAAATCCTTGGCCCTTCTCCTAAAACGGGTCACTCCCACTGTCCCTTCTGTCCAAGCTATTCTATTAAGAGTTTAAGCAGTGAAGTTTTAAAGGTCTTTGTAAGGTGAGCTAGTAATACATTTCAACAGAAGCAATGTCATCAACACCAGTGCTTTAACTTGTATACTTATATTCTGTATAAGATTCCCAGAATATCTCTAAGACAGATGTTTTTCCTCCACTTGCCACCCTAAATGATTTTCAGATGTACTCTTAAGCAGCAAATGGTGCTTTCAAAGGCAGCTGCCCTTTAGGTGGTCACTAAAACAAAACATGTATCCAATTTGCAAACTGYTCTTGATTTAGATGCACTCCTGTGCRRTGKGAGCTGGTCAAATCCTTACCTACCRTGAAACCTGGGGGCAATATTTGATCACAGCGTTTTTAGTTGTACCAGGCTTCMCTTCCACATGATTTTCTCTAAACTCGACTTTCACAACAGAATTTGTTGTGCAGAAAAACTGTTAGAGCGCATCTCAGTTCTGAAGTTACTTGACAATGAAAACTTCAACAGATTCGCATTTCTCCTGACTAGAAGTGTGACAACCAAAGAAACACCGAAGAGCAGGAAAWCTTGTTTCATTCCAGACGAGTTAGCTCCAGCCACAACAAGCTACCAATGAAATTTAAATTGACTTCTCCAAATACATTCAAAAATATATGGTTTGTTTCAAGGAATAAATAAAAGCAACTACTCTTATTGCTTGCTTAAAAAAAAGCAATTTATAAGAAGTCATTTAGTTTAATACAGGACTATCAGAACTYACATGACATGAAAAACCCCTGTTTGTCATTTCAATTTTTTTTTCTAATTTTTTTTTCTAAAAAAAAAAAAACAAACAGGAAGATGCTTCAAAGCAAGTGCAAAGGAGTTTATCTTGCACACCAGRACTTACCGCAATCGTCAACAGTTAGTGACTGATTAAATTCTGAAGCTATTACTTCTAAGATTTTAATATTATTCACATGCACAAGATTTTTTTTTTTGTCCTCATGTTGAAAGCCACTCCACAACACAGCCACTATCTTTCCACAACTTTTGCAGTGATCTTGCTCATAGGAAGAACGGGCACGCTGGAGTTTAGAGGTGGAAGAGCCTGACAGAATATCCATCCACCAATATACCCTAAGGGTTTTTTACCCCACTGTGTTTTCCTTTTCAAAAACAAAACTTATGTTAAGAATGTTTATATTTCCTCACCTTTGGTGTCCATCCAAACACACCCATAGCTCTACCCACATCCCTTACCTTTCTGCTTTCACACTGATACTTAAGTATTGCCATTAACCAAGCAGAAAAATACCTGAGCTCAACCACCACAGTAACTTTTAAACATGGCTCAAGGTACCATCTATCTATACCTGAACTCAGAGAAAAACTTGTCACACTGTGCAAACCTCCAGCTTACATAACTTCGCAGGAGTGCTTATAGTTCCATTGAGGATTAATTCTTCTACTCTGCAGCTTAATTGCTCAACCTGACCCCTTATTAAGCCATCCAGTAAAACCAGCTCAGAGTTTTGAAAGGAGGATTTACTTTTCTTTCTTTGTCACAACTGTCCAGCTGAGTTTACAGACAACCCGAGTTTAAAAACCATTTTTCTGCTTAAATGAATTAACAAAAAAAAAAAAAAAAAAAAAAAACACACTTCAGTATCTGAAACTGTCCCTCAGACAACTTTATCGTGAAGCCTGAAATCTGTTTTCTGTTCTAATGGAGTTGTGTTAATGACCTAATTTTAAATTATGAACTGATGATACCATGCATTTCAAAACCTAAGAGAGTGTCAATTTGCAATATAAATATCTAAATACTTCAAGATTTGCTGCTTTCTCAACTAAAACAAATGGGCGGTTTTCCTGACTATGTTTCAGACCACACTAGTGAGACATGAAAAACTCCCACATAATCTGAACACAAGTTTCCAAGCAGTTAYTACGCTATTGCAATATATAAAAATCATTCGTGCATCAAAAGACAGAGAAGACTTAGAGGGTAAACCCCAATATTTGAATTTTACTTTCCAAACAGTATAAATAAATACTCTCTCCTTACTCCTACTGCAATAATATTTATACCTAGGATCAAATGCCTTGTAGGCTACGCACCATACTCAACACTTACCTAGGAAACTTGTAAACAGAGACTGCATCCAGAGATGAATAAGACWCATGCCAATTTACAGATGCCAGATCAGAGCCTACAGGCTTTTGTTGCCTACAGACTTTTGTTTAATCTCCAAAACCTTTAAAATTCTCCTTTGGATATTCTCTCACCTTGAGGCAATCTAGTCTCTTGGTACATACTCCAGAAGCTGATCACAAGCCCCATCAGACCATGCTGGATCTGAAGGCCTCTGCACAACAGGGCACCTTGTGCAGCCAGTCCAGCACTTTGTCACAGTCTCCACTCGCTACCACCACATATCCCCCAAAACAAGATGTCCCTGTTATCCTCATAACACAAAAACTCAAATGCTTCATTTCCTAGACTCATTAAAAAGGCAGACACCCCAAAAGCAGTAAAGCAAATAAGTCCCCAATGAACTGTACTACTTTAATATACATAAATATATGTGTTGCTTTATGTGCACGTGTTGCTTTAATCCTCACCCCTCAGTATCTCAATTCTTCTAGGCTTGTGCTGCATTTCACAAGACACACGAAGGACTGAAGAGCCTTCAGGGTATAAGAGATGTTACTTCTGCTCCTCGTTGAGCAACCCCACACTTCAGAAGACGCAAAAAATGTTCTAAATAAAAGTTTACGTCTAAAGAAACTAGTTGGCTGCTCCCCACTCTTGCTAAAAACTGGACTCTGAACTGACTAACTTGAGGCTTCTGCCAGAAACCCCTATAGTGTCCCTATAGGGAGACAGAAGCAAATGATTTTCACGGAGTGATTTATTTTGATATTTACTGAAAGCGACAGAGGCCTCTCACAGGGAAGCCACACACTGCAAAAGGACAGTGATGAGACTGTATCTTCTGTTCCCGTTCCTTTTTGACATGTGTTTTACGTGGGAGTTCAGTGAAAGACTAAATCAGAGGGGCCCAATCTGCCCACTTCACATCCCACCTACAGGGCACTTGCTCTGTGCACGACACAGGAACGGTTTTTCAAGACCTTGCTCTAAGCAACATTCAGTAATCACTAATCACCCAAAGCGAACAGGACAGGAGCACATGGGCAGAGTGGTACACATAACCTAAGAGCTGTAGGAAGAAATTGTGACAACTGTGAGAAGCATTTAGAAAAATATACATTCCTTTTTAAGAAAATAAAGAGATTTAAACAACAGAGTGAGGTGATCACAGCCAATATCTGTTCACTTCCAGCAGGCTTTAATCCCACACTGGACGACTCCAATCGCTACCTGATTGTGAAGGAAGCTGCTTCTACTCTTACCTATTCCTACAGCCAAATCTACTAATTTTGACGACGGTGGAAATACCCATCCGTTCCTGTTCCAAAATAGTTTATTCCACACGAATTACCAGTCACCTTTGCTATTAAGCTTTCCTGAGTTAGAACTACTGAGTCAAGGGTAAAATAACTCAGTAAAACTGCCTTCCTGTAAAACTGCACTGCATTGAGAGACTTTACAAAAAGATACTTCAAAATGTCTTTACCCCAAAAAAAGAACAAAAAAAAAAAGGCACATTAAAAAATAAAGTGCTACTCTGTGGCTCTGGACAGCAGCAGCAAACACACGATTCAGGCAATGAGCACCTTTAAAGCCACACACCTTACATGAATTTTCCACTATCGTTCTGCAAACCGAAGCCAGTCTGCTGCATTTCCATCAGCCCGTTGGTTAGCACAGAAACCCCACAGGTGAAACAACTAATTTACACTGAGCTTATTTGGTCTCTCCCCCCTCTAATGGTCCACTAGAGATGACACAGCAGCATGTGCAAAGGTCCCAAAGGAGCTTTGGTAGCTTTGGATCCCACAAGCAGCTCGGTCTCGGTAACCTGGTGTCACTTCAAAATACCCCCAGTTTTGCAGCTAAAGCAGCACTCAAATCTGAGGGTTTTCTTGGAGCAATTCATGAATACACAAGGAAGCCTGTCCTTCATTCTATGAATGCCCCAAGATGCATTAAAGACTCTTCAGTTTTGTCACTTCTTAATGCTTCCAGTTACGCTCCTACACTGCAAGCACATTACTTGCTGCTAAATCTCACTGAAGGTTCAAAAGCCTTTAAAATTTGTCATGAAATAACAGAATATAAGGAAAAAAAACAACACTACAGCAATGCCCTCCCTGAAGAACCAATCTTCCAGTGCTGGAAGGAGGATTCATTGTCACAAATACAGGAACTGTTTTCAAAAGCACACGTGCACGCCAGCTACCTGACAACCTAGGGCTGATCGATGCTGAACAGAGCCAACACCTGAAAAGGGCTCTTCTTTCTCCTTGTAAAACTACCTAGAAATCAATTTACAGTAATTCACCCAGTTACTACCGTAACTCACGGTAATTCACCCCCACTCCCAAATGACACAGGTTGTGCTGAGCACAGCATGATTTTGGTAATCCTAATTACCACCAACTTCCTACAGCCACGTCTTGAGGGGACTTTACAGCTGGCGTATTTCAGACTTTCTCCCTATTTCTCTCTCAGACAAAAAATAAAACTTATCTAATAAACAAAATGCTGTTTCAACGTGGGGAAAAAAAAACACATTTTTAATCATGAGAAAGATGCTTAGCTGTTCATTAACTTTTTAWAATCCTGATATCCTCTGATGTATCTCAAAGGTTACACAGCTATTTTAGCATCCACCCTCTCCCCACAATGGGGTATTATGCAGTCTTTACAACAGAGCTATTTGTCTCAGTTTTAAATGTTTCCCACAGCTAGAAATTTATCTACAACATTAAAAAAAAGCATGCTGCACAGAAGGCCAAATGTGTTTTGGACGTGTACATAATCTGGTGTCACGCTACGACTCGTGATTTATATCACCTTTCTCCAGGCTCTACTATAAATGAAGCTATCCTTGCCAAATGGTGTGAATATTATAAAGTACAATCCACTTCCCGTTTTAGAGCGCGTACTTTGAAGATTTATCACAATCATCTTCATCCACCCTCTTTGACAACAGTTCATCAGCCACCAAACAGGATTTCTTACTCTTTGTATCTTCTCCAAACAAAAGGGCAAAGTTTCTTATCACGTTTAACAAACTTGCCAGCCCAGCTGTCAGTCATTGGCACATTAAAACACAGTGCTTTTCTTCTGCCCACCTGATAAAATAGGCAGAGCTATCAAAAAAATAAGCAGAGCTATCAAAACCACTCAAGTTCAGTGTTAATTTGTTGCAAACACTTTGCTATTGGACTAACCACAAAATGTTGAGTGCTARATGCTGTGCTAGGAAAACACAAACAGCAGCAACGCAGAGGAAAATAACCCATTGAGGGCACACAAGGAGCCTTCCCCAAAGGGCTCCTTCTGATTCAAGGCACAAGGGGGATTTTTAGGGTATTGAGCAGGAGGGACCTCACTGGTGTTAAACTGGAGCCCGACATGGGATTACATAACACAGTGCCCACACATGAGGAGCCTGAACCCAATAAGACAGGAAATACTTGATACTGGGAACATTAACAACCTACTTAGTGCTACCGGTACCTCCAATAGTGAATCCTACAGCCCAGCACGTTGGCCCTCCCACACACAATGCAAGAAAAATCAGATTACAGTCCCCAAAACTCACTACACACACAGCACAAGAGATTAAAATAAGCAAACAACCAGTGCTTGGCCCAAGAGGTGCACAAATGAAAAATAACGCCCGTTAAGGCAGTGCTTAAACAGCCTTTTAAATCAATATCCTCCTGGTTTGTTGAATGTTCCCAGGAACTCTGGCCTTGGGGTTTCCAGCTCGTGACCGGTGAACACGGGAGCCGGTGCGCAGAGATGCTGCGTGACAACCTCAGGGCCTTTGGGTGGGCAAGGAGAGCATTTAAACACACAAAACCAGAGCCACCCACACACCAGAACTCCCCGATTGCTCCCAGAGCGACGGCAGGGCCTGGAAAGCGGCTCCGCGGGGAGAGGAGGACGAGGAACAGCCGCACACGCGGATCCCGGGGAACAGCCGCACACGCGGATCCCGGGGAACAGCCGCACACGCGGATCCCGGGGAACAGCCGCACACGCGGATCCCGGGCAGCCCCGGGAACTCTCCACGGCCGCAGTGCTGAGGGCACCCGAGGGGGGACGGCCCCGCGGCACCCTCCCCACGCAGGGATAACGGCAGGACGAATGGAAACATGCAAGTAAAAAGAAAAAATAAATAAAAACTAGAAATCAATGGAACAGGAAAATAAAATAAAAAGGCAATAATAACAGAAGGAAAAAATAAAAATAAATGGTAATAATACAATTAATAATAAACATATAAATAGCTAACACAAATATAAATATCTAATAAAATTAATTAATAAAGGGCGAGCGAGGCAGAGCAGCGCAGGGGGCGGCACCGCACGGCGGCTCCCCCGTTTCACCTGGGCCTACCCGCACCTGGGCGAACCGCTGGGCGCGCGGGGACAACGAGCCGCCCCGGCGGCGTCCCGGGAGAGCGGCGCCTCTCCGGGGAAGGTCTAAGGGGCCGGGGCGCCGGGACAAGGCGAGCGGGCGGGCCCCGCGGGCGGCCCCAGCGCGCCCGGTACCTCGGCAGGGCCCGCTCACCGCTGCGGAGCCACCCGCGAGGCGCCGGCGGGGCCAACGGCCGCAACGGTCAAAACGGGGGAGGGGGCGCCGCCCCGCCCCGCGCCGCGCACGCGCACTCGCACCCACCGCTCCCGCCGCCGCCTCCATCTTTCCACGTCGCGCGGCCCGCGCGCCACGGGGAGGGGGGGCGGGGCGCGCGGGTGGCCACGCCCCCCACGGGGCCGCGGGGCACGCCGGGAGATGTAGTGCCGCGGCGGGCGCGGGGCACGCCGGGAGATGTAGTGCCCTAAGAGCTTTAAGTTCATCTTTACGTTAAGCCCTACAAGGGCCCCGGGAGCTCGCTCGCTTACAGGCTCGAGGGGGCCAAATCCTCCCATGAATCTGGCTTCTTGTGAATAACAAGCATCAAGCRATTCTCTCACTTCAATCCTATTTCTCATTTAAATCCCTAATTTCTATTTCCTGTAGAAATTTTGCCCTCTCGTGTTGCATTTTTCAAGCAGAAATCTGCTCAGTTCTGTGCATCCCAGCAAATGGTCTCCTGTGGCCCTGCCCAGGCTCCAGCAGAAGAAACAGGCGCTTTCCCCTTTCACCTCATTTTATTATTTTTATTATTTTTATTATTTTTATTATTTTTATTATTATTTTGCCTACCTCATCACAACACAGTACTGGAAGGGAATGGAAGCAAAAGAAATCTCGTGCCAGGACTAAGTGAAGCTCCTTATTGAGGAAAGTTTTACGGTGCAGATTGCTCGTGTTAATGTTTAACTGCAGCTAGTGAGAGCAGCGAGCCAGCCCTGCGGAAAACACAGACACTGCAGTTTTACACCCAAAATGACATATTCGCAGGGGCTGTTCCGCTTTTTGCAGCCACTGCAGTAGGCCTAGTGTTTAAATACGCTGCTGGGTCAGAGCCAGAAGTTCAAACYACAGCACAATCTACTGTCTGAGTTTTTTTTCCCTTGTTACTGACACATTTGCTTGAATAATAATATCCCAAATAATTTTGTGGTTTATAAACCAACTGCTTACGTTTGCTTTATTAGTGAATGACTGAAAGAAAGTAGGATAKATGAGGCCGGCGAAGGGCATTTTGGAGCGCAGAGATGGCAGGATGCTGGTGCCCTGCATGGGGAGCGGGCTGGGGTCCTCACGCTGGTCCCTTGCTGCGTTCACAAGCAGGTGTCCCACGTCACAAGGTCAGTGCAGCAGGGGGAAAAGAATCCACAAGTTAGGGAAYAAGACACCTCAGCATGGAGCCCTTTACGGCAAAATGTTAAAGCTCTTGCTCTGCCCTTTCTGTTCAYGTTTGTTTTGCTCTTGCTGTTAAACACCTCACTCCACAGCTCTGGCATTTTACAAAACGCCCACCGTGGCTTAGGCTACCTTCTCCAGCACAGGAACCACAGCTGAAGGGATAGTTTATTTTTAACAATGCTTAAAGCTTAAGAAAACATTTACGAGCAGCTGCAAAACTGAGGAGAGCCTTCATTCTGCAGCCCTGCAGAGGACCCTGCTGGGCCTTGCCCTCCCTTCGGGGTATGGCCTCAGGTCGCAGGGGGACCTTCTCAGCCTTCTTACTCCTCATTCATTACAAAGACAAAAGGTGATTTTAGACCCTCAAAAGCTCTTGGCTATCAGACCGAGAGCATAAACTTGGAAATTATTAATAGGTAGTTTATTGTTTGGGAGAGCTGGCTGGTTTAGAAAGCCCAGTTTATCACCAGGAGGGCTGCATCCACCTGTAACCGCTTCAAGCTCTGACGAGCAGGCTGTGCTCCCTTGCAACAACCTTGGGTGAAACATCCAAAACCAGAGAGGACACAACAGGAAAACAGCGAACTTCTCTCCCGACCTCCCATTTCCAACCYCCTCTTTTCTACTATACATCATGCGTGAGAAGTTAAAACAACACAGAGTTTTGTGATCTTTCATTGCATAAATTACACCACGTGGGCATGCTCAGAGTAACAAATTCGGGTTTTATTATCCCAAACCAGTCTAGGAGAAAGCTGCTTCTGGGGGATATTGATCAGAGGGGGCTTATGAGGATGCAAAAGCTGGTTAAACAGTAATGCAAAACACACTTCCCAATGGACTGACTCACTAAGGGAGAGTCAGGAGTGGTAGGCAAGATTTTAAAAAAAGCTTTCTGTGATTCAACTCATTACCAGAGACAGAAAAATCATGATCCAATCATTATTGTGAAAATCACACACCAATTCACAAAAGACATGGAGCGGAAAAGAAAGGTAATGGTAGGAAGCAATAAAACATCTCACCAGAAGCACCGAATAAGCATCAAGCCAAATATTAAGAACATTTTTCTAAAAGGAGAGAAAACGCCTGTAAGACTGGACCTCAGCAACAGTTCAGGACTGCAAGGGGTCTCCAGCCTCTCTGGTGGGTAACATTTTAATATGTAAAAAGATTGTGAATGAGCACAAAGATTTATCAATCTATCTTGCCACCAGCTTSATCGTAATATCCTCTAGGTATTATCCAGAGGACTCTGAAGAAAATGATAAATCCTCAAGAGCAATCCAAAATTGTTGGAATGTTTTTAGTATTTTAAAGAACTCTCCAGTTTGGTGGAGAAGACAGAACAGGGCTTATCCCTCCTATTTTTTACGCAGAGTGGCATCTAAAAACACTTCACAATTGCACTACAGAGCAGGGAGGCAAGTCACTGTCAGAACAGTTCTCCCCAAGATGAGGCAAGTTGGATTTGCCGACTTCACTTTATCAGAAAATATCAAAAAAAAAAAAACCCACAAAAAAAAACCATCCTTCCTCATAGCTTGGGTCCATCAACATGTTTTCAAAGCTGTCCGTTTGCTACTCTAGATTTTTATTATTCAGAAGCATAAAACCAAAAAATGAAGCAGCTTATTTTTAAATAAAGTCCTGGTTTATTATAATTCAAGTTATACAACTACGTTAAGTTTTTAGCTATCTTTTTAAGACACAGAATTGCACCATTTAAAATCACTGCAACAAAATATAAAGCAACAGTCTTCCTGTATCATGCCCTTGCATCTCCTATTCAGGAGGGAAAGGCACAATATTTCAAGAAATAAATGTGGAATGGAAGCATCAGATCAAGACTCTCTACTTGTAGTAAATGAAGTAAATTCTGCATATAGCATAATTCCACAGATTTCACACAATCATTTATATTTGTCATAATTTGCCCATAATACTTATGTTAACTTATGCAATTCGTAGTTCTTCAGCAAGGGCAGAAATAGCTACGGTTCTTAAAGGGAAGGCCTGAAGTCCTGCACTAGCAGCCAGGGAAAGTAAGCAGCAACACATTTACCTTCCCAAGCTGAAAGTATTAATAAATTAGTTAATCTAAACTCTAATCATGCCAAATAGGTTACAGAAGAAAAACAATTTCAGTGAGGAAAGTAAAGAATAATTTAAGACAGTTTTCAAACATTTTAAATAAGAAAACTGCTARTTGCCATTACAGTAGCAGAAGAAACCCTCTCCCGAAGTGACAAGGGTTTCCATTAAGCTAAGATGTGCAAAGAAGTCTCTAAATGAGAGAAATGTCACCAGTTCATTATGGACACATGGGAGAAAAACCTTGTGAATACATTCCTTTAATCTGCTTTCTTGTCAGAAACATCTGTGGCTCCCTTTGCAGCAATTCCATTTGCAACCCCATTACTTTCAAACTGCAAATAAAAGACAGCAGCATTAACAGGATGTCAAAATGAAAAGCACTTCACATCAAGAAAAAAACAAACAACATGTAGTCAGTTTGAATCAAGAATCAAGGCCAGGGATCTATAAAGAAATTTGTAGCGAGAATCAAGGCGGTARTTTTGGGGAGAGGGGATTTACACATAATTTTTATTTCAAGGGAAGGGGAGAGAAATGAAGACAGAGAGTACACATACRAGCCTCCAAGAACAACATACACTTTGCTATTTCGTTAGGAGGCATACGTAGTACCTGCACCATTTAAATGCAGGAAACAGTTTCCCTCATCAGTAGCAGCAGTGCTGTCTGAAGGGCTATTTTTTTTATTCCATTTCATGCAGCTACTCTGATTTACCAGCTATCCAACTTCTCACTTCTCTGAAAGAATAGCCAGGCTCTCTCTACATATATTTTTAACCTATCTATAYGTATAACTGAGCTGCTTCATAAAGAACGCCTATCTAGGGCCTCCCTGACGCGGTCTTGCTAGAACTGTTCTTCCCAGTTAGATCAGTCCCAATAACCCTCCTTTTCATAAGAAAATAAYCACAGGAGCCTCCATAAACACCCACCTACCCCTTCAAAAGCCCCAGCCTGAACTACTGTTGGGCCCCTGATCTGAGGTTTGCGAGGTTAACTAAACACATCAATCTTACTTTATAAATTCCAGACTCATCCTCTTGATCTCTTTTCGTTCCTGAAGGCCCCCGTGGGTTTCCAGTGCCTCCTCCATGACCTTTTTTTGTGGCTGCTGTTTCTTGCACAGCTTTCTTGGGCCACACGCGCTTAATGAAAGGGGCGATAACGGGATAGATGTAGGGCTCAAGGAACTTCTTATAKACCCAGAGGAGAACCGGAATGACAATACAAGGAATGCACACCATGGCTCGCTCTTGTTCTGCAACAAAGCTGTTGAAAAGACGACAAGAAAAATAAAAAGATCAGAATGAAAGAACTTGCCATTGGCAAACAAAACCTTCAATAAGGAATAAGGATTCAGGTTGATACTTAAACTTTTCWGATTCTTTAATAATAGACTGTTAAAGCTTAAAAAATGCTGCTATTCTTCCTCGAGAACAGCTTTATGCTTCCATGCCATAAAGTCCTCAGCATTAAGGGCAGTATTCTTCAGATTTTAATACCTTTCTCCAAGAAAGCTTGCTATTAATTCATCATGCATACAGCCGGAACTGCAAAAACGATATCCAGAAAACAGGAGCTTTTTTTTGCTTTAACCACACAATAAATTTTAAGCATTGAGCTGCATATATTAASCCTGTTTTTACTATAATATAGCTTAGGGCTTGAAAAGATCATTTTGCCCCTTTCCCTTCTGAAATTAAACCACTCAAAGCAACCCAACGGCTCGCTACCACTGAACGGCAGGTTGTGGGAAATCCTCTTCTCACACTCTGTGCTGCTTCCTCATCCTCGCACACAGCTTGAAGACCTTTGGGCCTGCTGTGATACTTTCAATAGACTAACCTTCTGAAAAGGAGCTCATCCTTTTCCCTCAAAAACAGAAAATTATCTCCCTGAAATAGCAGCCTGATGTCTGCCTTCAGAAAAGCAGAGACTGCACCAGTGCGGGGACAGAAAGAGAAGGGCACAGCAGGGCCACAACTGTCTTCTCGCTGGGGATGAGCTACTGGATGGCTCTGCTGCTCTTGGCTCTGCAACTTGGCCCTTTCCATTTCTCCTGGCTCAGCTTGCAACATCCGAATTCTCACACAAAGAAGCAAAAGTTTTCCAAGATCCCTTCAGGGAGCCTAAAGAGGCAGGAGGCAGATGTACTTCATTTGAGATCATTGTTTAACTTCACTTAAACCATCCTAGAAACTCACACCCTCAGGCCCAGGGGAAGAGCAGAATAACGAATTCCAGCAGAATCTGTACTTTTCTATGAATATCCTTTTGGTTTTTTGAAAAGTGGCCTTACAGGAATCAGTCCCTGATGTCARAGAGGAATCTTCACCTGGGAACACACAAATGCAGCAGAGCCATTAATGCCRGTGGAAACCACAATTCAGTGAATTCTCTTGGGCAAAACCTCCCAGATAARACCTTTTCCTGAAGACACTGAGCACCCACCCACCAGCTAAAGCTTCTAAGGAGAATATGGATGATCACTGAGCAAAGAGAAAGGGCTTTCACAGAACACTTCATCCCAAGACTCCACACCAAAAATAAATTGCATTTCAGCCAGAAACTGGGGCAAGACACAGCAAACAGCACAACAGAAGCTCTAGCACATTTAGACACCTTTTTGCTTTTTGATTAAGAAGCAGTTCATTATTTGCAGGTAGGAAGCATGAAAAGGCAAACAGGCACGTTCCTGTAGCAAGTTCACTTCTTTGCGGCACCAGCTTTTGCTTATTTCTGGACAAACCTGGGGGYCAGCGGGGAAAACGGGTGCGATGGGGCCCGTCCAGGCGCTGCTCTCTGTCCCCCACGTCCACACAGAGCCACCAACAGTTCTAGTCCTAGAACAGCGTGGGGATGTGTGGGGGGACGCAGACAACAGCGCTTTCTCCCCTGCACAAAGRCTGAGCTGCTCTAGAAGGGCCACGTAGCCGCGGCGGGGCAGCGCTCAGGCCAGAACATTCCCCGGAGCCCGTTAACCTGCCCCCGACGGGGGGAAAGCGGGGTGGCGGGGACGGAGCAGCCGCCTTCCCTCAACGACCAGCCGTGACGGGAAAGAAGCGTTAATAAAAGGATGAAACGCGGCTGTGGGGAGGGAAGGGCTCCGCGCAGCCCCGGTCCCGCCTCACCTCAGGCGGCGGCGGCGGCTCCGCGCGGCACCGTCAACGGCTGCTCCGGCTCTGCGCCGCACCGGAAGCCGCCTCACGCGCTTCCGGCAGCGCGTCACTGGGGCGGCGCCCTCCCCCAGCGCCAATGAGAAGCAGCGACGGGCGAAACCACGTGACTGGCGCCCCGCCCCCCCCCGCGGCCCGGCCCCCCGCCCCCCCCGCGCGTCCAGCCCGGCGCGGGAACCGCTTCCCGGGCAAACCCCGGAACCTGGTGCTTCCCGAAGCACCGCCGAAACAACGAAACCCAGAGGAGCCCGCGAGCAAGACAAGGGGCAGACACCCGCAGCAGAAATCTTGGTTTTTTGTTTATTTATGTACATCTGCAGGATTGCGTTTACTCCCGGGCCATGAGCTTTTGCTTCTTYAGCTTCTTCTGGGAGATCTGAAAAACAAAAAGCAACAGTGGAAGCCTGCAAAAGGGGCACCTTGCAGAACAAATCCTAGGACATACCGCAATGTTTACGGGTTGTTACRTTACACACTGAAAAGCATACCAGAATTCTAGTGAAAGGTACCAAACTAAAACCAGTCATTATTATCTGAACAGCCCATGACCTTCCAGCACTGAGGCATCTACAGAGGCTSCATCTGCACCTACATTTTGCAGCATGAACGGGGAAGGTCCTAGCTATCCCAGGGAAAACAGATGCAAGTAACTCTCATGCCAGCAGATCATCCACACTCAAGAGTCCGCCTGCATGGACACCCTGGAATGGTTCCAGGCACAGAGGCCCTCTGTGCGGTACTAATCACTGACAAGAACTTCTTCCAAGTTCTCAATGCTGTATTTACAAGACAGGTAGGTTGCTCAGAAATACGTATTTTTTTTCACGGGCATTCCAAAGGTGTCCTAAGATGGTCATCACAGCAACCACTTTCTTTAAAAAACAATGCAGAGTATTAAAATTCAGGTTTCTTGACAACATTTTAACAACACACACACACACACACACACACAAAACCACTACGATTCTCTCTACCTTTTTCTTTTGAGCAACCTCTTCTTCTGGTTTCGGAACAATCTGCTCCTTCTCGGTGAGGATCATCTCGATGTGGCAGGGGGAGCTCATGTAGGGGTTGATCCTACCGTGGGCTCGGTAGGTTCGCCTGCGCATTTTGGGAGCCTTGTTCACCTGGATGTGCTCAATCACCAGAGAATCCACATCGAGTCCCTGGGCGAAAAAAATATGCCCATTACTCATGACTTATTTTCTAAAAATACACGTAATTTCTCTAACAAAAACTTGAATGATCAGCTTGCCACATCATCACTGCTGGCAAACATCTCAGTTTAATTTCACTGCATCACGAAACAAAACATTAAGCARAAGCATCAAGTAAAGCTGAAAAAATATATTACAGAATACCTTTCTAAATGTCACAACGAATCATGCTGATGACTCAGAATGAAGTTTTTATTTCATAGTGATTCCAAAGGTGTCCTAAGATAGTCATCACTGCCATCAGGATTGCCAAGTTTAAGCATCAAGTACATTACAAAGATATAAATTAAACAGAAGCATACAGCCTACTTTATTTTGTATGTTTTAAGACATTTAGCACACACTCCAAGTGGTTGGTAAGAGAATGCATGACCTAGTTATCTATTARAAGTTATCCCTTACATTTTATCTTGAGGAAAACATGCAACATCATCTTTAGAAATATAGCAAACTAAATCTTCTGACAGACTACACGATTCAGAGCTTCAGGCTCCATCTGGCCTTCGATTTTTGAGCCGCTGCGTCCAGGACTGGTGACAGAGAGAAGCACAGGCAAAATCTGCACTTGCTACTGCCTAGTTAACCTACCTTCAGCTCAGCATTGCTCTCCGCATTTTTGAGCATATGCAGCAAGAACTCTGCACTTTTCTTGGGCCAGCGTCCCTGTGTCCAGCCCCACTGCTTGGCCTGGAAGAAGGAAAAAAAGAGTTTTCTGTTTGTATCCTGGCTACAACATAACTGCTGCATCCCCTTCTGCTGAGATTGCTCAGAAAACAAAATTCTTTTCACGTTTAATCCAAAGGTGTCCTAAGAAAGTCATCATAGCAATCAGAATCAGCAATCCAACTTCCCACATAAGAACAGAAATATCCCTTTGCAGCTGACATACCAAAATAATCCATTTAAATTATTACCTAATGCCTTTCACACAAAATTGCAACCTGTCAGGCTGCAGTGCTTCRCGTTTGTTACACAGGAACTAGATTCTCCTACGTTCCACCAGCACTGACAGAACATTCCCAGTACAGTCTCAGCTCTGCTTTTTCTTTCTCTTTAACCAGTCACTCAAGCACCCTTCCCTGCTGCGTTTTCACCTCAGACCTCACCTGGGCACATCTACCGACRCCGCCGTTGTAGCGGCGGAAGGGAACACACTGCTTCTTCAGCGTCACGTCCTTCAGGTACTTGGTGGCCTTGCGGATGTGCATGCCCTTGATGGCCTGCGCGGTCTCACGCGTGTTCTAACCAAAACAAAGCAAAAGGCAATTTTGGAATCAACAATTCTTTCCAAATTAATACTGTAAACAAAAGCACTTTCACAAAAATAAGTCTGTTTTTTTTCCCCTACCTATCTCTATGATCTTCGCATGACTCCTACTATTCCTGATTTTGTCAGGCTGACGTGTTTTTGTTGTTCTTTTAACAGATCATTACAGACAGCAAAACTAAACCCATRTTCTTTTAAAACACATTCTCACTTATGACAGGTCCTTTTCACCCACTAATTCAAAACTCCAGGGAATGAAGGATAAATTCTAACTGAAATTTCTCACGTTGCCCCTCACAGGAAGCAACAGGAAAACAAACAAGCTACACTGATTCAAATCCATGWGAGACAGTTATGAAAAGGAAGAAAGGAAACAGTCTGAAAAGAAAAAGCACGAGTTAGGTTAACACTGCCCAAGACAATATGCTAAATGACAACTCAAAATCATGTTTGAACACAGTAAAGAGACAAATCAAAATAAACATTTCAAGAGACTTTGCAGCCGCATTATTTACARCGCTTTGCAGAAAAGTATCTGTTCCGAACCCAGATGTGTGTGATTAACCCCAAAGTGCCTTAAATTCACTGTTGCACCTCAACATTTTCTAAAGAAATGTGACCATTCATATACAGCCCTGCTGCAGAACAGAGTCATATTTCTTGTCCAGCAGTACAACCAGATTAGCAAGAAGATCCTTCCAAACAAGCAAAAAACAAAAACAAAAAAAACCAAAACAAGATGAAACACGTCATTAACCAGACGCTTGGCCAATTCTTACTGCTACAACCACTGCAATCAACTGTGCTTCTCTAACGTATTTTGACAGCGGGCTTCTTAGGAGCCTTCTTTTTATTTGACTTATTCCTCTGGGTAAAGACCTTACAAGGAGCTATAGCCTTYAGCCATCTCCGTTGCCACCACACTGCAGTAAGGGGCACAGGCAAGAAAAGGGCCCTCCCGTTTACAAACCACATTTGCTTTCCCCATTACGCACAGGCCGCCTACCTTGAAATGGACCCGCAGGTTGGAGCCCCGGGACTTGCATGCTGCGGAAGGAAACACAAACGTTTTAACAGAGACCCCCAACGGCYCCGGGGAGGCTCCCCCCGAGCAGGCACGAGAAGCGACTCACATTTCGTGGGGTTCTCCGGGTCCAGGGAGTAGCGGACCATTTTCGGGGGTTCCACTATGGGGAAACAGCGAAGAAAAAGGCGTTTTAAACCCCTGACACGCACATTTTAAACCGCGACTATTCTGCCGCTGCAGATACCCGAGGGAAGGAGCTGCTCAGACACCGCTTTATTTTCACGATTAGATCCAAAGGTGTCCTAAGAGCGCCATCACCGCGGCCGCTCCCCGGGGCCTCACGCCAACAACCCCCCCGCTGCCCCGCCGCCATCTCCGTCCCTGCCCGTCCTTCCCCAGCGCCATCCCCGCAAATACCGATGGCGGCCGGCGGGGCGGGCCAGCGGGAAGGCCCCTCGCCGCCTCCCCGGGGCGCCCGCGGCGGGATGGGGCGGCGGGAGGGTGGATGGAGCGCGGAAGGGGCCCGCGCCAGGAGCCGCGCCCGCCATGGCGCCCTCACCTCAGGGCCGCGGCGGGGAAGAGGAGGCGCAGGGGCTGCCGGGAGGCGGCTGAGGCCGCGCGCTCTCGCGAGACGCCGCGAGATTGGGCGGGGGCGGGAAGGGGAGGAGGGGCTGTGGCGAAGCCCGGGAAATATAAAAATATTAAATATAAATAAGAATATAATTAATRYATAATTAATATATAAACAATGTAAATATAAATATATAAATAAATAATGTAAATATAAAGTATAATTTWAAAAATATAAAATATAAATAATAAATATAAATAAAAATATAAAAGCCAAGCGTGTAAGTGAGTGTGTACGTGTGCCAGTGTTTGTGTGCGTGCCCGCTCCCGGGTGCGGCAGACCCGTGTCCGTGCGGGGCTGTCCCCGTCCCCGCGGCCGAGGTGCCGGCCCCTCAAAACGGCGCCGCGGCCTGAGGAGGAGCGTGGGTGGCTGCGGCCGCCGCCRTCCCCCTGCGGCCCTGGACGGATCCTGGATGGATCCTATGGGTAGGTACCACCACACACAGAGGCCACCTCGGGCAGCCGCGGAGGCAGGCGACCCTCCTGACGGATAATGGCACCTCAGGCGGCAGCTTCCAGACCCAGGGATTGCTCCACGTTTCTGAAGGAYGGGCTCTTGCCTTTGGCGTCGCTCGATGCCCACGCTGCTGCCRTCCCCTCCCTTTGCACGTCCTGGGGCTCGGCATCCTGCGTCCCAAGGCTGTACGGCTGGTAGCTGCGTGTTCCCCTTTGCGCAGGACACATTTAGCAGAGTGAAATGTGGTTAAATCGCACCCCAGGTTCAGCTGGATGTGACCGTTAGCCTTGTGACAGGGTGGCTCTGGTCACTCTGTCRCTCTACCCTGACATGACGGATCTAGGAGCGTTACAGGTGGCTGCGAGGTGTCCAAGTCAACGGGTGAGCTGGGCACCGGCTAGCTGTGCGGAGAACGTGGGGATGCTTGAGAACATGGCATCCCCATCGGGGAAGGTGGTTGAAAACGGCGCCCGTGAGTGACCGGGGACAGGGCAGCACCTCTGCTGCAGAGCACATGGAGGACACAGAACCACAGGATGGTTGAGGTTGGAAGGGACCTCTAGAGACCACCCAGTGCAGCCCCTGCTCCAGCAGGGACACCCAGAGCTCGGGGCACCTGGACGCATCCAGGCAGGTTGGGAGATCTGCAGAGCAGGAGCCTCCGCAGCCTCCCTGGTCTGCGACTTCTCCACGGGTTTTCCGCAGGAGCACATGCAGCAGGCAGGTGTTGGGTGAAGCTGGGAGCGTGCCGGGGTGTGTGTGCCCATGCGCACTGTGCAAGCAGAGCTTCCAGGCTGCGGTTGCTTGTCCTGCTGGAGCGCAGATGCAGAGGACACGGGTCTTTCCTCGTTGTTCCTGAAGATGGAGATGCCTCCATTGCGGCGTCTGGTATCCCGGCTGTGCTGACAAGGAGTGGGCTTCTCTTGGTTGTCGCTCAACACGGATGAACCAGAAAGCCCGAAGTCTGGATGGGGCCCTAGGGAGGTCACCACTCAGCATAGACTGGTCTGGTTGTTGCTGGAGACATCGCTCCTAAATGCCAGGTGTGATTAAACCCAATGGGTAATTAAGGAACGTCGGTGGTTTGTGTCAGTGCGTTTGCACCAGATGTGTGACTGAACGCACAGGAAAACAGCCTTGCTATGCAGGGAAAACAGCCGTTTTATTCAGAAAAGACTAATGTTGCTGGAGCAAAGGCACGGCCTAGTCAGTTTTATTGGTCCATGGCCTTTGAGCTCAGCTCAAGGCCAGCGCTGTTTGCAAATCCCAGCTCGATGCAGGACACAGAGCCAGTCTCCGTAAGGAGCAAATCCAAGAGCAGCAGCTAGATGGCAGCTTAGGATGAGAGGAGAGAAAGAGGGAAGCAGAGCAGTGCGAGAAACCAAAGTGCACCGAAAGTCTGTGTGAAATAACTCATCTTTGTGAGCTTAAGCTGATATTTATTGCAGCATTATTAATAAAAAAAGGAAAAAGTCAAAAGAAATACTCATTAGTAGACAGTAATTTCCATTTTAGACTGTATTTGAAATTAGAGCTGCTTGGGATACTTAACAAGCAGTTCAGTAAAACTGAAACATTTCTTGGAAGTGATGCCCAGCCACAGCACAGTATTCACCAGGAAAAGCTGTCGGAATGGGATCTTTSCCAATGCCCAGTATTTTGGTGGCCTGGTCCTTCCTCGGCATGAGAGAGGTTGGGGCTCAGCTGCAGGGTTAAATAAGCAGGATCTCTCTGCCCACATAAACGCTCTGACCCCTGGGCTATTTCGGGATCTTTTGTTTAGCACTGAGAAACCCCAAAGCTTTGAGGCCATTTTTTCACTCTGATGGTAAGAGGAAAATATTTGAACTATCGCAAATATTTATGTGGCTGGAAACTGCAGAGCTCTGCTGCTGACTGCAGCTCCGTCCACCTGTCTGAAAAGGTGCCTTTTGCTTTGGTTCCAAGGAGACGCTCTCTGCAAAGTCTCCAAATAGCCTGTGAGCACTGATCCCAAGGCAGGAAAACCCTGGAGCACTGCTGGGTTGCAGGAAAATACTATTTTCCACCTGGCAAATGGAATTCCTATGGAAAAAAATATCCGATCCCATGTTCTCAAGAATGCACCCTGGCTTTTGCTTGTGGCTGCTTAAACTGAGATGCTCGAGATCCGGTTTCACCAATTAGTGCTTCCACCTCCCATCGTTTTCCATGGGCTTRGAAGCTGCTCGGGACGCGGGGCCCTCTCGGAGCACAGAACTGTCCCTGGGAAGCACCTTYAAATGCGGCTTTCTCTTAGCTACGGAGCTTAGGAACGACAAGACACTCACAGAAAAACAGAGCTGTGAAACATAAGGAGTTGTGGGAATTATTGCCAGGTTGGTTACTAACTGAATGAAAAGAAAGTGGCGTTTTGGGTTTTTTTTTCCAATCCTTTGCATGTTCTGTCTCCTTGACAAGCGTTAATGGCGGTAGATGAGGTCTGCGGTCTGCAGGGATGGACGTGTCCGGGTAGGAGATGGGCGCAGTGGGCTCGAGGGCAGGTGGTGGCTCCCGTTTCCATCCCCGCTGGAAATCTCGGGTCTAGTTTAGCACCTAGCGCCAAGTGGGGGTGCTGGGGTTTGCCCACGGGATTCCCCCCGTGCACCAGCTGCCTGGGGTGCCCAGCCTACGGGAGCTGACCCCAAAGCTCCCTGCTCCTCGCCCTCCCTCCTGGCCAGGGAAGCCGCCAACGCCGACACGTGCCCGGGCCCCTGCCTGCTTCAGCAGCTGATACTTGGCTTTGGGCCCCTCTCTTCGGCAGCTYGGGATGGACACGTTGTCCCACGGCAGTGACTCCCACCGGAGCGGGAGCGACGGCCGCTCCGCAATGAAGTCCTGTGGCAGGTAGGTCCATAGTCATGGAACCAGGTCTGCTCCTCTGCGAGGCCTTGCTGCAGCGATCTGCTCCTTGCTCAGGAACGGCAGGGAATTCTCCTGCAGTTTGCAGCTGGTTTCCTCGCGTTTTACCTTACAGCCCCAGGTTTTGCAGTCTAGGGGTTATGTGGGGATATCAACCATCACCAAACTGTGTGGGAATGGGTGGCTCCTCCTAATGGTTATGCAGGAAAACTTGAGRATGACAATACCACTGTTTGCTCTAAATTGAAAACTGTTCCACAGTGCTCGAGTACTGGARGTGGGAGGCACTGAGAGCTTCCAGYCTCCAGACAGCTCCCCACAGCTCCTCCTCATCCTCCGCCACACATGGGGCTTCTCCAGAGGCACCGCGGCCCCGCCGTCAGCAGGAGGTGACAACAACAACACAGGTGATTCCTGGACGGAACCCGGCGATTCCGGCACCCTGTCCTACAGCAGCTGGTTCATCCACCCCTGCACACCCGGCTGGGAGGGAATCCCTGGTTAAATAAACCTCCTATGTGCTTAATAACCTTGTAGTTTGCATCGATCCGGTGCGTTCGCTGCCAGCAAACTGTTTACGTGGGTYGCCTGGGTCTGTGACTGCTCGTTCATGGCTTTCATTGCCAGATACGGATCAGTTGATCACGGCGGTAAGACAGCAAGCTAATAAAAACATGAAAGCGAGAGGTAACAAACACTGTTAGGGAGGAATTAGGTTCTTGGCTTGCATTTGTTTTAACCTGTCTGGATTAACTGCTCTAAATGTTCTTTTGGTTAAAGGTACCAAAATGCCCACATTTGTGCCCACGATTTGAGCACAAACTGAAATATAGGTGACTTCATTTAAACACCTATGAAAAAATCTTTTTCCTGTGAAGGTGGCTGGACACTCAGGCAGGTTTCCCAGGGAGGCTGAGGAGTCTCTTCCATCCCTGGAGATGTTCAAACCCCAACTGGACACGTGCTGGGCACAGTGTTCCAGGGAATGCTGCTGCAGCAGGAGGGTTGGAGGGTGATCATCTCCAGAGGTGCCCACCAGCTCATCCTAATCCACATGGATCCAAGTAGGCTCCTCCTCTCCCTGTTATCTGCTCCGTCTTTCTGTGGCTCCGCTTGCTCGGCAGCTCCCTGGGTCTGCTGGCTGAGCCCACGAAGCCTGTTCTYCTCCAGGGAAACGAGGGCTGCTCCGGGATTGCAGCGTTTTCCTCTCCGAAYACGTGGCCTGACCCTTTGATCCTAACCCCCTTGCTCCCCCTCAGGCTGTCCGGTCCCACGGGCTCTGTGGCATCCAGCGTGACACGAGCCCCCTCCTYGGAGCCTCCCCACGTCAGCCTGTCCTCCCTAACCCCCCAGCCTCCCCGCTCCACTTTTCCAGCCCCATTTTCCCAGCGCATGGGCCCGGGCACATGCTAGCGCTCAGGGGGATCATATCCAGCAGGGCCTGGCTGCAGCYGGTGTCCATGGATTTCCCTCTGGTGGATCCAAGGAGCCCCCGGTGCGTGTCCTWCTGTGCCAACGTGGTGGCTCCAGCTGCCACCTCCACACCCGGGATGCTCCACAGCGAGGGAAGAGCAGCTGTGGGATCCGTCCCTCCTCGGAGCGGGAGCTGCCAGGATGAATATGGCACCGCCTGGATATGGCAGGCGGGAAGGCAAACACAGAGCAGGGCCCTCGGCTTTTCCTAATTAATGGCAGAGCGGCTGCCTCCTCCTAATAGGATCCACACAGTCAAGCACCGCAATAAACAGGGGAGTTCAGCAATTAGGAATTAATGGCGAGAGGGGGAAGCAGAGCCCCACGAGGGAGCAGCGTTCCTGGGGACGTCCTCGTGCCTTCCCGCTTGGACACAGACCGGAGCCGTTGGCACATGCTGCTGATGTGCGTGATGGGTTTCCTTGACCTTGCTTGGGATGCTGAGGAATCGGCCTGCATGAGATGATGGAGAAGGGAGCAAGTCAGGGGAAAAATAAAAACAGTGTCAGGGACRGTGCCCCAAATCGTCACCTTTTTCCCCAAAACGTGGGGGGTGGCGCATAAAGCCGGTGCTCGTGGTTTGAAGCAGTGGCCGTTCACCCTTAATACGGAGCGCAGCCCGCCGGGGGCAGCGGTGCCGGGGGCAGGTACCGGCTGCGGCGACRGCCCCGGGGAATTAGCGCCTGCAGGAATGCAGGGATTTGCTCCGCGGCGCCGGGTGCCCGCGCTCCGCGCTGCCGACCATGTGCTCCCTAATAACCCYGGGGCCGGATGCCAGCAGATTTACCACGGGATGGGAGGCCCCACGCGGCTCCGCGCGCCTGGCCCTAAATAGGCACCGCAATCCACGGCATCCACGGCAGGATTCCGCACCAGGACGAACCGCTGCTCTGGTGCCCGCTTATTTCCTCTCCATCGCTTTTTCCTACCTGGAAACCCCATGGGGATGCTGGGATTGAGCGATGCTGCTGAAGAAATCACCTTAGGGGAAGCCAGAGAGGGGGCTGCAAACGGAGCTTATCCCGGTGGCATCCGCAGGCGGAAAAGCCTGGATAAATCTTGCCCAGGCCTGACGGCTCCATGTGGTGCATGGGCTGCTCCAAGGCCTTGGGTCTSCACGTGGGAGGCGCGAGGCTGCTCGGCCAGGCCGGCTCCCCGGCTCTGTCGGAGCGCGATGTGTCCGCGCTCCTTGCAGGGTTAGAGCAGGGAAAGGTGGTGCCGGGTTTTTGTCTCCGAAGCCGGAGGAGGTAAAGGTCGGTTGGTGCTGCCAGGAGAGCCGGGATGCTCCTCGGCGCTCGTATGAAGGAATCCTGCCCAGTTCCACACGCGTTGCTCTGGGAGCGGAGCGGAGCGTGGGGGGACCCCGTGAGCGCCGCTCTGGCACCTCCACAACGCGGTGCCTTTGCACAGCGCCYGCCCGGAGCGCTTGGCTGCTCCTCGGCGAGCCTGGCCGCTCCGCGCTCGTCCTCCTGCCCGGCACGGCGCTGCAGGAGCGGGGACCCCGCAGCACGTTTTTTCCTGTCATTTCCTGTTAAAATCCCCATAGTTTCAAGACTGCTCCTGTTTATCTTTTTTGCTTTTTTCCCCTCTTTTTTCCGCTCTTTCACTCGCCTGCTCCGCGGGGCCCCAGGGCTCCCCTCCCGCAGCGGGGGGGCTCCCCGCGCCCCCCCCCTGCACACACTGACCCCCCCGCGCCCCCCACGACCCCATTCCCACCCGCGCCCCCCGCCCTCCATTGAGAACTTTCCGCCCCGCGCTCCCGCTCTGACGTCACGCGAGGGCGTGACCAATGGGAGCGGGGCGCGCCACAGGGCGGGGGGGGGGGCGGAGGGGCGGGCGCCGCCCCTCGCGCGCTCGCCCTTAAAGCGGCCGCCGCGCGCCCGGCTCGCGCTGCCCGTGTCGCCGTCGCGCCGAGCCCGTCCCCGCCGTCCCCGCTGTCCCCTGCGCCATGGGCGGGCTCGTGCTGCTGCTCTGCGCCGCCCTCGCCGGCTGCATGGCGGCCCCGCACCTGCGCGGAGGTGGGTGCGGGTGCGGGCGCGGGGGGAGCCGCAGGTGCCGCGGGTGGGGAGGGTCCGTGGGGCCGGGGCACGCGGGGCCCCGCGGCGTGTCCCCAACTTCCCCCCGCTGTCCCCGCCTGCAGGTGCGACGACGCCGGCGGCGGCGGGAAGCGGGGCCGCCCCGCGCGCGCCCCGCGTCAGGTTCAACCTGCGCGCGGCGGGCGACGCCGAGGCCGAGGGCTGCGAGCTCGCCGTGGGGCAGCGCGGCCGCCTGCAGCGCTGCGGCTTCAACGCCACCGCCAAGACCTTCCTCATCATCCACGGCTGGACGGTGAGTGCGCGGAGCATCCCGCCGCGCTGTCCACGCGGAGCATCCCGCCGCGGGGCTGCCTTCCCGCTGCGAGCACCAGCATTGCTTAAAACAGGGAAATTGCCCTGTTCAGCCCTTCAGGGTGCCTTTGTGCCCCTAAGAGGAACCTGCTAAACGAAACTGTGGCCGTTTTGCTAAAAACACCACCAAGCAACTGCTGCGATGCTGCTTGACTCGCTGCTGCAGCTCGTTGTAAGCCCAGCCACGTGCAGCAGCCCTGGCTCCTGCAGCGGGGGCTCCACGCAAAGACACAGGGTGGGCACTTTGTCTGTCTCCCTTCTCCTGCGCCTTATGTAACCGCGTGCGGGGCATTAGTGGGCTTATCGGCTCGGCCTCTGCTTATGCAAACTGCAATGCCCGGCCTGGGGAATAATTTTGCAATGCCTCAAAGCCCGGAGCCCTCGAGGACGGGCGATAAGGCTGGCGGGTAGCAGCGCCTCTCCCTCTGCCCTTAAAAGGCAGCGAGGCTAATTGCTCCCCGTCTGTCAAAACCAGTTTTTCTTACACCATTAGTGCAGTCTAAGAGGAGAAGCTTCCCAGGGAAGCGTGTAGTGAAAGTGCAAGCTGCAAACGGAGCCCTGAGGGCTGCCCCGTGGGCAGGAGGGCAAATTAATGCCCGGGTCTCTCCGCAGATGAGCGGCATGTTTGAAACGTGGCTGGGCAGCCTCGTGTCGGCCCTGCAGGAGCGGGAGAAGGAGGCCAACGTGGTGGTCGTGGACTGGCTGCCCCTGGCGCACCAGCTCTACACGGACGCGGTGAACAACACGCAGGTGGTGGGGAAAAGCATCGCCCAGCTGCTCAACTGGCTGCAGGTAGAACCGGCACCGGGCGCGATGGGCAGCGAGGGGCGGCTGCGTGAGAAAGCGGGGTGTGCGCCAGCCCTAATGCCAAGGGGCAGGTGTAATCCTAAACCTCGGGGCTCCGTGGTGAAGGAAGGGGAGGAGATCCGGCTCCTGCATCTCCTCAGCTCAGCTTGGAGGTGCCAGTGTGGGAGCAGGGTGCTCGGGGTTGGTGCCCCTTTGGTAAGAGGGCAGGAATATTCTGCTTGATATTGAAAGCTGGATGTGATGATTGGGATAAAACAAGTGCTGTGCAAACAGGCATCATGCATATCATGCACATGTGCTGAGAAAACAGGGAGGAAAAAAAATTTGTCTCCTGYTTCCTCCTACCTAGTCCTAGAACAGGACCTCAGAGTCCTGCAGATAGAAGTTGGGTAGTTATTCTAAAACCACAAACTATTTGTTTCTCCTTACAGGAGAACCCACTATTCCAACTGCAAAATGTTCACTTGATTGGATACAGCCTTGGGGCCCACGTTGCTGGCTTTGCTGGCAATCATGTCCAGGGGACGATAGGCAGAATTACAGGTAAGTGGCTTTTCTGGCTGTCCCCTACCTTTTAGTGGAGTTGTCCCCCAGCACGTTTTCYGAATGTTTCCAGCATCCTTGTGTCATGGCACTCTTGCTATCTCCATATGATATCCTTGAGGCAGGACACCAAACTTTGGGAGGCTCATGAAAAGCCTCTCTCCAAGGATAGCCTAGGTTTGGATGCTCATGGAAAAGTCTGGTTTAGGCTATTTCCATCCAAGGTCTCCTTTGAGGAAACACTGTTTCCATACAACTTGGATTAATGGAAGTGATAACTATTGAGTACACTTTGTCCCATGGGGTGTTTGACCAAAATCTTCTTTTATCAGAAGATATGTTGAAGAGAGTGCCTCAGATTCTGTAGTGAAGGGACCTCAAATATGAGAAGTTAGGATGTGGTAGATGGGATACCATGAAGGCTTATATCACGTCCCCATCACTTCAGAGACTGAGCAGAGCAGTGCCGATACTGGGGTGTGTTGCAGGCATCATCCTCATCTCCTTCAGTGAGTTTGTGGTGAAGATGTGGGGATGGTACCCTCAATGAGGCAGGGAATGTCTGTGTCCTGTGGGGGTATTGAGAGCTCCTAGCAGCTGCTATGGATGAAACCACCCAAGTTCTTACTGGTGTCCTCTGCTGTCCCTAGGCCTGGATCCGGCTGGCCCCATGTTTGAAGGAGTGGACCCCAGCAAGCGCCTGTCCCCCGACGACGCCGGCTTCGTGGATGTCCTGCACACCTACACGCGGGAGACGCTTGGTGTCAGCATTGGCATCCAGATGCCYGTCGGCCACGTGGACATCTACCCCAATGGGGGAGACTTCCAGCCTGGCTGCGGACTCAGCGATGTCTTAGGAGCAATTGCCTATGGCAGTAAGTTCTTGTTACGTGTTTTGCCTCTGGTTTTGCCACTGTAGACTTCTCGACTTCAGGGTTGGTGCTGGGGAATGATCCCATTTGTGAGAGCAAACTACTTTTCCTTCTAAACTGCCTGTTCTACTGGAGATAACCAYTAGAAACTAGATGTGCTTCTAATTCTGAATCGGCATGTTTTCATCCTAACACCTGATCAAAACCTCTGGTCTTCTCATGCTGGCTTTGGACTCCTCTTTAAAGCTGACTTCGTGGTAGAGAACAAGTGATCAGTCGTCGGGTGTCTTGCACTAACCCTTTTGAATTGCTACTGTTTGAAAAATGTCAAGTTTAGCCGAACTCGACTCTCGCTGGGTTCCAAAAGGTTCAGTTCACTGTATCTTACGGCTGCTGAGGTGGCAAATGCGTAAACAAAACGTATCCCCTGCAACTCTGCTCCCCCAGCTATCGGTGAAGTTGTTAAATGCGAGCACGAGCGGTCTGTGCACCTCTTCGTGGACTCCCTGGTGAACCCCGACAAGCAAAGCTTCGCCTTCCAGTGCACCGATTCGGGTCGCTTCAAGAAGGGCATCTGCCTGAGCTGCCGGAAGAACCGCTGCAACGGCATTGGCTACAACGCCAGGAGAACCAAGAACAAAAGAAACAGCAAGATGTACCTGAAGACAAGAGCTGACATGCCGTTCAAAGGTATGCTTTCTCTCTTAAAGAGCATCCAGATTAGAGATCGTTTGATCTGAGTGGGGTGACCCTTATCTAAGACACTATTTGACCCCACTGTAGAGGTGGAAGGGTAGCCTTGCCTCCAAGCAAGGCAGCAACAGGCAGTAGAGCCTGTTGCTGTTACCTGGCCGCATTCCTGCTCCGTAGTGTCGCTGAGCTCCTTCCTCCATGGAGCACAACAAGGGCTCTGGCTGCAAGGACCAACTGCCTCTCAAGCAGCTCTGTGGCTTACATAGTCCCTGCATGCAAGCCCATCTCTACCTTAGAGCAATGCGAGGCTTGGAGAGCCCTCCTCATGTGGAGAAAGGGGTCCTGTAGCTCCGTCTGCTTCTCTCCCTGGTCCTGTTTCCACCTGGAAAATGTCAACTTTGAAATCAGAGACAGAGCAGGAAAAAATTGATCCACAATGTCTTGGTATAGATATCTGCATGATCAGAGACTCATTTAGAAAGGCTTTGACTTTTGCCTGTCAACACTCTATTAAATAAAGAGCGATGCTTAACAACGCTGGCTCTTCGCAAACTTGCCTCCATCTATGCTGTCCTTGTCTCCTTGCAGTGTACCATTATCAGATGAAAATGCACGTCTTCAGCTACAAAAGCTTGGGAGCAGCTGATCCCACCTTCTCAGTCACCCTTCATGGCACCAATGGAGATTCCGAACCCCTCTCTTTAGAAATGTAAGTAAACTGACCTGTTGTGCTTAAGGTAACTGGGCCTAGACAAGTACAAGGTGGCATAAGTCACYGACACTAACAGCTGCACCTTACTGCAATTCAGAAACCTTTTGTCAAGTAACTTAATTATAACTTACCCCTGTGAAAGCAAGCTGGTGTGGTCAGCCCTCTACACATCAACCTTCGTGGCTCAGTGTTGAGGTTTTGATCCTTCCTTCCCCGTTTGGGTATGTCTGAAAGTGTCTCTGTCTCTGGAGGGGGATGTTGCAGTCTTTTTAGCCTGTCGCAGAAGAAACAAGGTCTGAAATTCACCTTTAAGTTATGGAAAGCTGTCTGAGTCAAGTAATTAATGCCTCCTATTAAAAATGAGTTTGGAGAGCTGGTTTAATGCTATCACTAATTGACTGTTGACAGTTAAACAAAAAGCACTTGATAAGCTGCAAAGGGCTGTCTCTGAAGCCTTGTGCTGAATGACAGCCCTCCTGGCACTCCTCCATAAGGAAGAAAGGTTGAGTTTCTGCTTATCTTTCAGGCTGGAGCAGATTGGCCTTAATGCCACCAACACCTTCCTGGTCTACACTGAGGAGGACATGGGTGAGCTCTTAAAAATAAAGCTCACCTGGGAGGGAACCTCTCAGTCTTGGTACGATCTGTGGAAAGAGCTCAAGAGCTACTGGTACCGGCCTGCGAAGTCGCCCCAGGAGCTGCACATCAGACGTATACGGGTGAAGTCTGGGGAAACGCAGCAGAGGTGAGAGGCTCTGCTAACACGTGGGTGAAGCTTCAGCACGGAGCTCCAYGGAAAGTGGTGTTGGGGTTTTGACCTCACTTGGTAGCTGGAACAGTCTTTCATGTTCAGTGTCATCAGATGATGTTTCCTCATGGGGCAGGAACATGGGTTACATGAGGAGGTTCAATGTGAGGTTATAGAATAGAAATAGAAACCTAGCTTAGCTTAAAATTTAGATCTGACACACTCTGCTTTATTTAAATAATATAAAACTCCTGCCCATAGAATCACAGAATGTTCAAGGTTGGAAGGGACCTCTAGAGATCATCTAGTCCAACCTTCCTGCTCAAGCAGGGAGTCCTAGAGCATGTGACATAGGGGTTGAATTAGCCTATTTTAAGAGGTTTAGATGTTATCTGAAGGGTTAAAATAATAAATGCCAAGAATAAACACTAAAGCACACACTAGCATGGCTATTCTAGTTATATGTGTGATTGCACTGACTTGGCAGAATGAGCTAGATCAATAAACTAGGCAGACAGGAACATGGTAACACCAACCACTTAAACACTGTTGTTCCTTCTGAGCTATCCAACAGGAAAGCAAGGTGAACCCAGAAGTAGAGGTGCCAAGTAAGAGGTCCCAGACCTTGTGCTAATGCTGCTCTGAAGGTACCCAGATCTGCCAAGTAACAACAGTTACTGTGACACTTCCCATGTTTCTTGGCTATAAATAAGTGTCTCCTGTCATCCATGAGGCAGTCTACATCCTATTTTCTGAAATGTGTGGAGCAAAGTAGAAGTAGAAGCAAAGATTCTCATGCRAAATATGACATTAAGAAAAGGTTGCAGCAGCTACTCAGCACAGTAATGGTGTGTCAAGATGCTTCCTGTAGAAGGGTCAAACTACACAACTCATCCTAAAATGAACCTGGCATATGGATTACAACTGGGTCAGTCATGCAGCAAGAGGTGACTTATCTTGACTTCTGGTCCTTCCCCCTAGGTTTGCTTTTTGTGTGGAGGATTCCCAGCTGACCAGAATATCTCCTGGCAAAGAGCTCTGGTTTGTGAAATGTGCAGACGACTGGCAAAAAAGGTAAGGGGGAAACAGCCTGGAGAAATCCTGTCTAATGCATGAGTAGAGTCTTTAGRCTATTAGAACTTCCTTTTTTCTTCCCTATCAAAGGTGGATAGAKTCTAACATGATTCCCTGCTATTAGACTTAATGAAAGATTTAATGCATACATGAAAATTAACTAAGCATAGATAATTAGACACTATTCATTTCTGGTCCCAGTTTGGCTTCTTGTATCTTTTGGTGCTACTCAAACTCAGGATCCTTGCAAGAGTGGAAAGCTAATTGGAGACACCCCAGCAGGGCTTGGAGTCCTGTTTGCCTCTGGGATGCTCTTCCAGACACTTAGGATCAGTCCTTACATTGAGACTGACGCCAGCAGGGGCAGATTGTTTGCTTCAACATGCTCGAGCGACGCTTCAGATGTGTCCTTGCTAGTTTGGCTGGATGACAGTTGCTTTCGGTCTGGTCCTTGCTGCTTGGCCTCTCTTAAGTCTCTGTTTGTGTACTTGTGGCTTTGGAGCTCCCCATCAAGTGCTGCTCAGGTCAGGAGAGCCCCGTGGCAGCCGAGCTTTGCACAACCTTCTTGGAAAGCAGCATTCTGCCTGCATGTGAGCTGATCGGCTCCAGGCTTGGCAGAACCCAGCGGGCTGCTTCACRTACAGTAGCAAACTACCTAATGAATGAGATCCCTCTGCAACAAAAAAATGCTGCTCTGCTGCAAGTAGTGAAAGATCAAGCAAATGCTCCTGCAGGTACAATAAAAGGCTGTTTTGATAYGCTGCTTGTAGCACCTATTAAACAGAAATTGCTGGCAGATGTGCCCTTCCTGCTCGCTGGTGCAGCGTGGCTTCCACAGGAGGCAGAGCAGAGCTGCTCCGAGCAGCTGGATTTCCAGGAAATGGTCCTTCCTCCCCAAGCCCGTGAGCGACGACTGCTGCTGGACGCTCTGTCCCTGCCAAGTCCCTGAGAGATTAGAGYTCCTGCCTGGAGACCGTCTGTGAACATCTGGCTACCCTTGAAGGGCTCTGCACAGGCAGGCTCTATCAAGACCTGTAATCTCTATTTGCAGCTATCTGCTTGTGTGCTGTGTCTGCTCTGTTCCCACTGGGTAGTTATCAGGCAAAGAGCTTTTTTTAACAGAATAAAATATTAACTGGGACTGTCAAAACCTGTTTCTAATGTCCCAGCATTTCTTATGGTTACTTTATTGCTCTTAAGCTCTGTGTTTAACCAGGTGTGTTTTCTCTCTGCCTTTTAGGCCTTTCTCAAACTTGCTCTGAGGACTTCCCTGAAATCTCACAACCAAACAGCCTAGATGCATGAAGACCACACGTGTGGGGTGATACTCTGGCAAAAAATCTGTCTTGGTAGCACTTAAAACAGCTAGCTCTTCAGGACCAAACACCTTGGAACGGATGCAAGAAACAGATGGACTGTGGTCCTAGACCTCCAATAACTGAAACTGCCTTCCCCTTTTCCAGGGAGCCTGGTTTGTGCCTTTAACCCTTTCTTGATCTGTTGCACTCTGCATTTCCTTAAGCAGAGCTGCGGATGAAGCCTTCACAGATCTAGACCTCAGCAATGACCTACTGGCTTGCCTGCCAGCGGAGTTGGGAAGACAACCGTGTTAACTGACTGTCAAACTGYTGGTGACGGAGCTGCCAACAATAACCTGGTGCCTGGCATAGGGGTGACTGGGAATCCAAAAGCACTAAGGGCTGTGGGAAGATAAGACCACCAAACATGTTAAGTTTTGGGGGGGAGTATCTTTGGGGGGGAATAAGCACAATGTCACTTATCTTCAAGCTGTCCTCTGCTTACCCTGAAAATCAGTTACTGTATCTGGCTGATACTCAAATCTCTCTAGGTCACCTTGTGGAGGAGCTCCATCCTCCCTGTATCTAGGGCAAAACAAGGTCCAGATACCAACTGAGGGTGCTGGCAGCTGCCCCAGCACGTGTCTGAACCAAGCATGGGTGTTACTACAGAGCTTTCTATTAAGCTTGTTTTATTAAGCTTTTTATTAAGGCAGCTGCACATCTACTGACTATGGAGGAAGGTAATGAACTGTCCTGCTTTGGGAGAATGTTGCATTGGTCCTCTTAACTACTGAGAACGTGTTTGCCTCTGCTCAAATGCTGCTGCAGTACCAGAGCATAATTAAGACTTAACTTTAGGCAAAGTACTTAACTGAGCCAAACAGACAACCATCCACCCTCATTACTGCAACGTCCTAGCTGGATTCCCCATGAACTTGGCTTTGGAATYGGACAGATGCTCGGCACTTGGCTGCTCTGGAGCTGGACAGACGCTCGGCAGCTGTCCTAGCTGCTGCAGCAGATGGGACCTTGTCGGAGGTGAACTAGCCCTTTTTATGGGGTGGGAAGAAGGAGACTTGGTCTAACAACCGAGACTGCTCTTGAACTTTGCTGCACGGAAAGGCAGTCTCAAGCTGTGTTGCTGCCACATGCTGGACTGAGCTCTGAAGACTTAAAATCGTTTGATGCCTATGGTTGTCTGAGGTTTTTTGGAGAACTTCAATCCAGGCAAGGCAAGCACATTTGGAGATTTTTTTTTTTATGGTTTTATGCAAAGGCTTCAATAATTGAAGCCTTTGGTAAGTATCTGTGACTTGTCACCGTGCCATGGGTAAAGTGGTTTCAAAGCCTTATTTGTATATTGTGGTTTTTCTATGACTTAAAACATTATTTATTTCTCATGCTGTACATATGTAAAGTTTTAAACACCTTTGTTTTTTGAGTAACAGTTTTATAAGCTTGAAGATGAAAAATAAAGCGCTTTGTAAGAATGAGTGAAGTCTTGTTCTTAAGAAATAAGCTATCCTGTGTCAGAGCAGCACTGTAAGGCCATGTCATTGTCCTGCTGGTCTGCAGGGGACTGGACATGGAGGTGGAGCAGCATGGGGAAGGGTGCAGAGCAGCAGGTGCCCTTACCTGGTGACCTCTTTCCAACCTTGCTGGTGGGGACTGGGTGGGCCTGCTCTGCCCTCACTTAGATGCTGAAGGAGATGAGGAGCCCCCTCATCACGCTGCTGCTCCATGGTGTTTAGTGCTCCTTGCTGGATGTTGTTCCTTTATCAGGCTAGCCATAGTTGGGACAGACTGCCTCTGCTTTGCCCTAATCCATAGGCTTCCTGCAGTAATGTGGTGTG